TGCGTTTTCAACAAGTGAAGCAGCATATATGCGATTTATTATCAAATGTCTGTTAATTTCGTTTTAGTAATGAGGTTTTATATATATAACCGTATAATCGTACACGTGTTACGCGAACGGAAAAAAAACAGGACAGCATTCTTTTTAAAACTTTAAATTCCAAAAACCAATAAGGTAACATTGATATTCTTGGTTCTTTCGGTAAAGTCACGTAGAAGGGAAACAATAAAATAATAAAAATATTGTTTTATATTTTTTATTGTTTCCCTTCTACGTGACTTTACCGAAAGAACCAAGAATATGAATCCCTGCAGTCACGAAAGCTTTAAATCAAAAGGTAACATTGATTTACAAAACAAAATCTAATCCAATATTCGGAAATTATTTTCAACAGGTTTTTTTTTGCAGTAAAACATTCGTTTGTAATCATTCTCCTTAATGTCTGAAAGTAAATTATTGTTAATGCATTTCCTGCACATTCATATAAACGTATCCACCCACAGAAGAGACGGACGTCAAGTCTTTACAGCTGTTCAACGCGTGCCAGTTTCATTCCCGCAAATAACACGGAAATCAATAAATGTGTATGTGTGCGCCACAAGCACTGCGCAGAAATAAATACAACACATTTACAACGACGACCCTGAATAAATATTCCACATTTTGAATGAAATGAGCTGTATAACATTGGGCAACACGTGACAGTGATGTCCAGTGGAAAACGTGGACAGCGCCACACGCACTCAATAACCACACCGCCTTGAGACCGTGAACTATTTTAGGATCTTGGGGTGGAAGAGGGGGAAAAACCCCCATGTTCAATGGAAAGGAAAGGACAGAAAATCGAGTGTGTAAAAACATTAGGATCTGCTATTTAACCTTTAAGGTTGGAATGAGAAAACAAAGACCAGGACTAATCTCATTGCATTGAAAATGGAAAGCAGCCTCCCGACCTCATGTCGCGCAGTCAGATAACGACACGTGACCCCACGTCATTGAATCTTAAAGCTTAACATTGTGAAAGGATATAATAATTAAGAGTGCAATTCTTATATTTCGGAACAGTGGGAATGTATTAATTATTCATAAAACGATAAACGTAATTAAAACAATCTAATCAGGATGTTTTATTGGAATTTGTGTTTTGCTTGGTGGACGCCGGTGGAACACTGAGCGTGGATGCCACTGTTCATCTGCCGTTTTGTCCAGTCGCTCTCAATCTGAAGTCCCACAACCATTATCCATTGGAGTCCCTCTGAGTCACCACGTTCAGACTCCACTACTCGTGCCCTTAGCCAGATCCCAACACGGTCCCTGGATGAATGAAGAAGTCAACGTTCATGTTTAACGTGGGGTGTTTGAAGGAGGGGTGGGCTAATGCACTTGGCATTTTACAGGTTAGAGATGTGGACTTTTAACGAAACGAATGGAAAATAAGGTGCTGGCCTATGAATACAGGTGGATGGTATTAAACGTACGGAGGAATATGGTAGGCTGGCTGGTGGCTAGGAATAGATAGGTAGCCAGTCTTGTTAGCAAAAGAGGTTGACATTGGTGGGACACCTCCACAGGATTAAGCAGGGCAGGTCATTGAGATGGACATTGGAGTGGCATCCAGATGATGTTGTTGACCAAGGGGGAAAGAGCTGGAGGCAGACGGTGGGAGTCGCTAAGGGAGGGTGAATATTGGGCTTGGCAACTGTGCAGCCGGGGCATTGAGCAAGAGGATGTGTTGGAGGGGTCTATTGGTATCATCTGATTTCACCATGACAGCCTCTTGAACTTACGGTAACAATTACGAACATGTTCCATAATTAACAAAAAAAATACATGTACAGCAATGGAAGGCAAATTTGAAAGAAAAAAACAATCCTCTGTGTAACTTTAAGGGCATATATGCATCGACTGAGATAATGGTTGAGGACTTGCACTGTGCAGAAGAACACTCGTGTGCGAGGTGATTTAATGTTTGGAATTAGTTTAATTTCTATAATTTCCTGAATCAAGAAAATCTCACCGAGAATTAATTTTCATATAGGCCCTACATTTAAACGTTTAGCCTCTCCCGATAATAATTGCACATTCGAGAAAATGTTGAGTTCCCGCAAAACACCCAAAACATAGAGAAAAATCTAAAATTCTGTCCAGACAGATCAGAAACATACTTTCTTAACTGCCTTTAAGAGCCACCTAATTGCAAGACACACGTCCAGATCATTACGTGGCCTAACATCTATATGAATTATGATTATTACTCCCAAACATGCTTTCATAAAACTGATTAGTCATATGCCTAAGCAGGCAACTGTGTTCAATGGCATGTCCAAAATAGAGGACAGTAGTTAGGGCCCAAATAGAGCATTTCTATTTTCATATATTTCAAAACATCTATTTAATGAGCATATGGATCGTAACGTAAGTGTGGTCTCGCGCGGTCATAATACGTAACATTTTACAGTAATTCTAAATGTCGGAGAAGCTTGGTTATGCAATGCCCCATGCGGGATTTTTTGTTTAACAAATGTCTACGGGGGATATTCAGTTACATTTCTTGTTTTACTGAATGCATAAACAGAAGCAAGAAACTAAAGTACCGTACCACAAACTCACCGCTTCATTGTTCTGCCAGAAGCACTGCGATATTCATTCCACAAACCAACGTGGTCCATCATAGAATTGTAATCTCAAATTCAAACTGAAATCTCTCGACTTTTCTGCTGGATTTCAGAATAATATTCCAACGTGGCACGAAGTCTCTGCTGTCTGTCTGCTCAAGGGCTTTGGGACGGACCCATGGGATAGAATTCGGGAACAAATCATCACGCGTTTCAAATGCATGATCACAGCTTGTGCTACGATTCGTGATATGCACACTATTCAGTATTGTGGCCAACGCATAATGCCGCATCTATTGCAGTTTGACGTCGGTGAAGTAATGGGCCGGGTCTCACTGTCGCAGAAGCAATTACTGCTGGAGAAGAGATATTTGACAATGCAAACACAACCGCCACGTGCATAAACAAGCCGATTCATCCGGATTGATCGCATTTCCACCCGAGTTAACTTAGGAACGATTGATATGGAATAACAAGGTTTACGAAATGGATATTTTATCCCCAGGCAAGTCAAGGTCATTTTTAATTCGATTATCGCGGTGCAGTCATCAAAGTGGAAGTTGGAACACAGTCGTTGCATTTAACAATCCCAAACTCCTCGCAAACACAACTTTGTGAAACTAGCCCCGCTTGAATATCTCCAATACGCAATTGATGAAAAAACAACAACCATAGGCCAATGTCAAACCCAGCACTACAAAGGCAACAGAACAACAGCGCTGCGAGACACTTGGCCGGAGTCATGAACGTCACAAAGATTCGACAACACCCGTTAAAATGCACGGACATTCAGACACCCATCTTATCAACGGAGACGGTGTAAGAGACAGGGCTAGGCCAGGAAGGGTGGAAATGAGTTTCCATTAAAAAAAAGACAAAACCCAAGTGGAATTTACACAGTAAGGGTAACTTTTATTCCGTGCATAATGATATGTAATCTCCCGCTTATGATTTGTCCATTTTAATAAGCCTGTGTTATCTTCTGCTCGATATCCCAGTGCAGCATTGGAATGTAAGAAGTGTTTTAGCCGATTAAACCGTTCCACCCTGGGATTGCATTGCAGCCACGAGACCTCCCCGCTACATCTACACTCGAGTCTCATCCTCTCTTTGGAATAATTGGGCTGTAATAATTTACAATTTGCCACTCCGTGAACGACAAACGAAGACTGAAACAGAACGCGTTTTTTTTTTCTCCCAATGACACTGCGCCCCCGTCACGTGGGTGGCGAACCCCCCAAAGAAATACCCGCGGCGTTTGTAACCTCCCCCCCCCCTGCACCCCCACAGCACGGGCCCCCACGTGACGCGGGTGCCACAACGCCGCCTAAGCGCGTTCGCGAAGTCAAAGGGGGATCTCGTGGGAGGCCGACGTCGACGAGTTCGAACGCTGCGCGGAACAGGAACCCTTCTTCACAAACACCGTGCCGATGGATCTGCAGTCATTGCTTGGATTACTGCACAGCGGGCATCGCACGCTTTTCATTTAGGGGAGGTTTTCGGAGTTTTACTTTAGCCACGGAGGGCATTCGGTCTCTTTTGTTGTTGATATTTTTCGACACAGAGCTGCGCGTGTTGCAACCGCTTCCCACTCAACCACCACCTTCGCCTGCCATAATAGCTTCCTCCTCGCATCCAGAATGAGCGTAATCGGCAGTGTTGAGCTCTATCCACTGCTGGACAAAGCCTTTCCTCACACGACCACCCATGTCTTTTTCCAGTGCCATGGGCCTGTGTGCTAAGCTCAGTAAACGCATAGCAAACCGTGTTAACATACTGCACTTTTGACAAAAATAATAACAATATTTTCTCCGCAAAGCCAAAATACGTCTCAAGATTCTTGACTTGGTGATGCTTTAGCTAATTCCTGAAGGCTGTGTGCACAGAAAGAAACCCAAGTGCCCGGATAAACCCGACACCATGAAGTGGATGACATTCAGACAAAGATCCCCCGTGTAACCTTAACAGACTGTAGGGGCAAGTGCTGTTAGCGAGCACCTATGAAGCCGGAGCGGCACACGAGGGGGTGGGTGGCCAGAACCACGCGCGACCGCCTTTGTCTCCCCAGTGGCGATGTTTACACACCGCACCGGGTACTCATTTGAGGCTGAGTCGACCTAGGGGAGGCCCAGGACCGGTTCAGATGATCGTCACTGGTGTTGGCCGTGAGCAGGAATCGAACCCGTGCCACAGGGTTTGTAGCGCTAACCGCTACACCACCGCTCCCCACATAACATTGGGCACTGTGCCACCTACTTTGCTGCCAGCCCAAAGCGATGCCTCACGCGGAATCCGTAGCCAAGCGATCCACGACCTCCCGGTTCCTGGATGAACCGGAGCACAGGACCGAGCTCGCGCGTCACGGCAGGCGAAGGATACAGAACACCCGACGGGCACGCGGTGTTTATTGACTTTGGGGAGGGGCCCAGTGCTGACCGCAGCCACGGTGACAACAGCGTGTTGTTCTAGCGGTACCGCGGCGTCCAGGGAGCCACACGCACAACAGCGGAGGGCATTGCATCACTGGGCCACAACGACAACAACAAACTTGTTACTCGTGTCGCGCGGCGCTCAATCGCAGCGGTGGTCTTCGTCGTGCGGCACGGGAGGATGTTTACCGGAATGGCCCAGCATCGACGCGCGGGTTCACGATTCACCGGTCCCGTGCCGCGACCGTGGCGGTCAAGCCTCGACACGGAGCGTGCATTCGTGTTTTTCCCCGGAAATGTTCCTGTTTGTTGTTGTTGAAGTCTTAACTTTTAAAAAGTATCTAATAGGCACAATGTAACGGGTGTTGATATAAAAGAAATGTTCTCGTCGGAAATTCCGCTTGGGTAAATGCATGGGTCTGACGTCTTGACTTCCCGCGCGAGGCCCCGCAGCTGGACCAACTCGGCGAGCGCAATTCGGGTTCCCGCTCACGGTCAACATCGGTGACAAATATCTCAAGCAGCCTCGGGGGGCCTCCCCCGAGTCGACTCGGCCTTGATAGGGTACTCGGTGCGGCGAGTCAAACATCGGCACTGGGGAGACGATCCCGGCCGGGCGTGGTGGTGGCCACTCGCTCTAATTTGTTGCCATCGGCACTCGCAAGCAGCACCCGCCGCCCCAACAGTCTGGTTATGGCGATAGCGGAATCCTCTTGTCTTGCGTGCGAGTGAAGTGCAGTTTGCGCGTTTCTCTCTCTTCCCCCCCCCCCCCCCCCTGTTCTGCATCGGTTTCCTGCACGCTCTCCAATTTCCTCCCGCAGCTAAAAACCCACGCACGATGTCACCGGTATTGGCCAAAACATCCCAATGCTGAAATATTACCTGGGGATTATTCAATTGTGATCACGCGCACACGGACGCACGCACGCACGCAACATCGACCCCCCTCCCCCGCTGCGAACACTTGACAGGACCCTCCTGATAAAGAGTCTTGAGACTCAAAGACCGCGATGGATTCATGGCCACGGGGCACGCGAGACCGTGGCCACAGCCAAAAGTTGGTGACAGGAGGTAATGTGACTCCTCTTGATGCCACAAAGGCGTTGGTCCGGGTACAACCGCCAAATGTATATTTGTAGAAAGGAAAAAAAACCCTAAGTGTATAAAATAAATAAATCTAAGACAACATGACCGACAAGGTACAGGTGACCCAGTACGCGCAGAAACATCGCTTTGCAGCCACCACCACCGCAACCACCACAACCACCACCGCCACAGACCAGGAAGCTCTGAGAGCTGCCGCACCTGCAGGTAAAAAGAACCCTGCGGGCTGTCGAAGCGGCGAACACGCGGCGTTTGCCCTGCCAGGATTGCCGAGCAAAACCTCTCACAAAAGAGGAAAAAGAATGTAAACTGCATTTAGAAATGTTTTTTTTTTCATAAACTAAAACGGCATTCGGGTTCTTACTATTTACTACAACTAACGCGCGCACGCACAGCGTTCGCTTGGAACAAACGTTGGGTGAACGGGCGGTCGCCACGTTCGCACGTGGGTTGAGTATCCTCCTGCGGTTACGTGGCAATGTTTTGTAAGGGGACGCACGCGCGCTCTGCGTGCGAATTCCGAGACGGCAATCTGCAGAAGAGGCCCATCAATGATTCACCGGCACAGCGGCGCGCGTCCTTGAATTACCCACAATCACTAATTTTGTCAATTTCTGAAAGCTTGCTGCGGAATCTTAACCCTCGATGACGAACGGCGACCGCCAGGTACCGATTTGAACGAGGTCAAAGCTTGACGCACGGGCGAAGCCAAGAGACGTGAGGCCGTGAGAAGGGAGGGCGTGAGACGCGCGCATCGCAGCCGCGACGCAGCACCTGGGTCGCGATCTGGAGGTGAGAGAGGCAAACGTGTGTCCACATTCCACGCCGATGGCCCCAGGGGTAAAGCACAGACGCCGTTGTGGGTTCCCCCCAACACAGCCACGTGGGGGCCCTGAAACCCCCCCTCCTCGTGGACTCTCTCCACTGCCGCTCCCACGAATGCTCCACCGGCACAACCTTCCTTCCTTCCTGACGGTTTCCTTCGGTAGGTTTTGTTCTTGGTGGCACCGCGACGACATTGCTGACGACAGAAAAACTACACAACGAGGAAAAGACGCCAGACCCGACGAGAGAGCATAGAGGTGGCATGCAACGTTATGGCAATGCAACCGATACAACTGGACAGAGGTGTTCTGCACAAATAATCCAAAACATTGTTTGATATGTTTTTAACCTTGCCTATAAACCCCTTGTTCGGCAATTGGTCAGACCCGGATTTTTTGTAACTAACCCTTTATTTGTGGTAACTAAGATTTGTAGTAACTAACCCAACCGCGGAAACGTGGTGGAATATCGTAAATAACGTTAGGAGATGCAGATACCACAGACACGAGCCAATTGTGTTTTGCTTTATTTACTGATGGTAGTTAGGCAGGTTGACGATGGTGACTTTGTCAGGGCACAGGAGGGTGGTCCGTGTTTGCGCGAAGAGTCTTTCTACACGTACGCACCGGCGCCCTGGTGAGTCCTGGCCAACCTGAAGGTATGAGGGCTATCATCACCACCGACAACTCAGCCACGGCATCTCACGCGGTTTCTATCTGCAGCGGGCAATGAGTAAGAACCCAGCGGCGTAGCTGCAGAGTGTGTAGGCGGTGCACGACTGCACCAGGACTCGCGGGCCTAGGGCACCCTGGGGCCTTTGAAGAAGAGGGCGGGGGGGGGGGGATGGGGGACACACACCCCCATTTCATTCCTTCCACCAGGGCCCCTGACCTTGCCAACCACGGTACTGGCAACCTGCAAGCACATCCCTGCGAAGCCCGGAGCGCGCTGAGAATTGGCCTGCGAGCCGCTCGCGTTTCTTGCCAATGTTCATGCTGCCGGGCGATGCTGACCGCCGTTTAAAACAACAACGACAAGTAAAACGGGAGAGGGGAGATGGCGGCGGCCATGTGTGGGAGCGAATGAGGAGGAGGAGGAGGCTCTAGACGCGGTTGAGGAAGGCGAGGCTCAGGGTGCCGGGGATCTCAATGGAGTCGAGCCCCAGGGTGGAGGGGTTGAAGGGGAAGGTGACGGGGAACATTCGCTTGGCGTCCATGAGCAGCTGCGTGGAGTTGGGTCGCTCCTTCAGCTGGGCCTGCCGTGACGCAGTGGGGGCGGGGGGGAAGGATGCAGAGTGAGAGGGGGTCCACAGGGCACGGGTGGTGCAGCGGCACACATCGTTGTACTGTGGCCACGTCGCTCCCACAGTCCACGCTGCCACGCCTTTTCACCCAACCAGCAGCGGCCAGCCGGGCGAAGTGCAGTCAAATAACCGCCAATAACCCGCAAGGGCACAGGGAACACCTCATCCAGCGGTGGCTTGACGTTTTCACAATGAGGCCGAATGCCTTAGTTGTCGAAATAACGACATGAGCCTCTAATATGTTTAAATATATATAAAATTTAAAGTACTTTGTCAATCCACTGCTCACGGCCTCCACGTAACAGAGGTTGTCTGGTCATACTTCACCACACTGGGCAGTGTAGGTTGGTGAGGGTGAAGCCCAGGACAAGAGTCATCGGTAAGTGATGTTAGCTGTGGCCAGGAACCAAACTCAGGTCGCCCGGTTCATAGCGCACTGCGCTAAACCACTGCTCCACCATGTAATAAGTTAATAGGCCATTATTGATTGACATGGGACGCATGACAGAAGGTTTGCAGTAATGACGCGGATTAATTTATTGATTCTGTACGAAAGGCTGAATAAAATTAAGATAGAAACTAATATTTGCGTCCTGCGATTATTGCCGACTGGCCTGAAACTGGTACCGCGTAAGGTAGCAAAGGCGATAGGAGCACCGATTTTATCTTCACAGCAAATAAGAGAAAATGATTTGATAACCCCAAGCATGTCGAAAGGTTATCACGTCGCGTCACCACGACGGCCAAGCCATCTCAGGCGGTGGTACCCACGAGTGAAACGCGTGGTCAGAGCTTACGGGCAATTGTGCCCACCCGCCCGCCCGACATCAGCATTTTCGAGAGAACTACAAAGATCAGAAAGCGACTGCCCCGAAGCTTCCCACAATGATTGCCAGCACCCGCGTCTACCACGTCGTGCCTAAAGCCTGGCGATGGAACGATTTAATACGAGCAACGCTTAAAAAAAGGTTAAGTAGCGTAGCGGAGCTATTCGTGCGAGTGTGCGCGTTAGGACACGTTACCCCCGTCGCGGTTAAAGCGCCCGTGGCACCCGCGTGCACATCGCAGTGGAATCTTCCGGCATAAACAGAGGCTCTTTTAACGGATCAGCCTGTCCACTTGTAATGCCTTTGACAGCCTGGCTTTTAATCAAAGGAGCCAGCCGGTACTCAAAAACCAGGCTGCTCGCTCAGCTGTGCTAATTAGTTTCCCCGATAAGCACGTTACGGCGAGCCGCTCAGACGGCAGGGTGACCGCTGTCCAACCGCGCGGCCCACGTGCGAGAGCGCCGTTATGCAATCGTCTCCGCTAAACTCCGCGAAGCCGATCTTGGATGCCGATGGCTACAAGTGTCGCCGCCGTACCTGGATGATGCGAATGAACGAGACGGTCACGCGCTCCTCAAACTCGTTCACAGGGGTGTACAGGTTCAGGATCTTCGTAATCTGAACAAGAAAGGCAAGAGATACGATCAATTAATCGGCACGATTTAAAACTCGTTCGCTCGCATTAGCGGCGATGACGGTTCACCACAGGGCCGGCAAGGTGGGGAGTGGGGAGGGGGAGTAGGTGGGGTGGTGCTAGATTTGGGTCCTGCATCACCAAATGTCCCTTTGGCCCCACCCAGGTCTACTCTGCATAGGGCCTACAGTGACTCAGCCTTGATAAATATCCGATGAAATGCGTACACGTGCGTGCGTGCGTACACGTGCGCCCGTGTGCACGCGCGCACCTGCGCGGGCGAGAGCGCCGTGCAGATGGAGCAGATGGCCTCAGCGTCCTGCTCGGTCTTCTTGTTGACCTGCAACACCTGGGCGGCCTCGATGAGGGGCAGCAGAGTCTCCTTGGCGCCGCTGTCCTGCAGCTTGCGGTCCCGCAGCCACTCCTCCAGCTGGCTCACGTTGTACCTGCGGGCGGCGGGGGGACAGCGCGGTCGGCGGGGTCGGCAAGGTCGGCGCGCCAGGCCGCAGTTGCCACGCCGGTCACGGCCTCGACCCGGAAGCGTCCGTGCGGCAGAACGCAAACTTTGCGTAAACTTTTGTTTTGTTTCCCCCCTCCACAGATAATTTGGGTTTTGCTTTCCATGACGTGAGTTCTGGCTTGCAGAGGAGGGGGAAGGCCAAGTCGATTTCTCTGAGAACCGCTTTTTGTGTCGAGTTTGTCGTTTCCCCCCCCTCCCCGCACCTCCGATTAGCACGGTTGGCTACGTACGGTGTGAAAGAAGTTCAACGTACATTCACTATTTTTTTATTTTCCAGGTAAAGCCCACTGAGCTGCTGTTTAAGCTCTTTTTGAGGAGCGACCTGGCCATCACCAATGACAGCTCAACGGAGTGGCGGCTTTATCACGTTGATATGTAGAGCAGCCAAATACTCTGAAACGCGTCACGTCAATTCTAAACTGGGAGGGGAAAAACCCGGCGGAGCACAGATGTGTACACGCAGTACACGCAGGTAAAAGAGCGCTCGGCACTGTTAAGGGAAAGAGGAGTAAGTGTCAGAGATACCTAAAAGCAGACGTATTTAAAAAAAATATACCATTCCTTGTGACTGTTCTTGTTGTTGTTGTTATTATTTGTGTGGCGTCTCGTTGGAAGGCACGGGCAGGCACATAGACTAAAGTACACACACGTTGCTCTGTCATTAAACTTGGCACGGTGCTCAGCTGCGTGACGTCGGGCTCTTGAGCCGAGGCCGAGGCGAGGCTGGGGATTTCCCCGCCCCGAAAGCGAAGTCACCGAGGCGTCAAGACAGACGAACTGGTCTGACCACCACCCAACACCGGAGTCTAGCGACCCAAAGTTGATTATGACCTCACCCACGCCACCCACCCCAGCGAACCACAACGCAGATCATTTACATGACAATCGAGGCTGCAGTCCCCCAGTTGGAGGGAACTGATAAGAGACGACCGCTAGGAGATAAGGCAGCGCCTTGTGATAAATGCGGGGTGCGGTGTTTTACATTTGCGGTAATAAACAAACGTGTGTCTGTGTGTACACACAGCACAAACGTGCGTCTGTGTGTGACACAGCAGTGCTGGGATAAATGAAAGTCAAAGACTTTAAACGCCACACCGAGTGCCTGATTTCCCCAACTGTCCTACACAGTCAGGAATTGACCTCCACGGGGCCCTCATGCAGGAGGGGACTCCTGCCAAGCTTTTGCAGTCGAGGCCGATGCTGCTGCTGCTGCTGCTAATGCTGCCACGTGTGATTTCAGTCGAGTAAACTGAAGGTGATGTTTTTTTCAGCGTCGTGATTTTTTGGGAGCAAACCGGAGAAAGCGGAGGAAACCCATCGCTGAACAGATGGGGAAAACGACAACACCAACTCAAACATACCAACTCAAACATACCAACTCAAACATACCAACTCGAACATACCAACTCGAACATACCAACTCGAACATACCAACTCAAACATACCAACTCAAACATACCAACTCAAACATACCAACTCAAACATACCAACTCAAACATAACAACTCAAACATACCAACTCAAACATACCAACTCAAACATACCAACTCAAACATGCCAACTCAAACATACCAACTCAAACATACAGTGAGGGAAAAAAGTATTTGATCCCCTGCTGATTTTGTACGTTTGCCCACTGACAAAGAAATGATCAGTCTATAAATTTCGATTTAAAGCTTTCGTGACTGCAAGGATTCATCTTCTTTGGTTCTTTCACCTGATGAAGGCCACTTGTGTTGTGGCCGAAACGTCGTGAGAATTTTATTTTATTATTTTATTATTTTATTCTCATTCTACGTGACTTTAACGAAAGAACCAAAGAAGATCAGTCTATAATTTTAATGGTAGGTTTATTTGAACAGTGAGAGACAGAATAACAACAAAAAAATCCATAAAAACGCATGTCAAAAATGTTATAAATTGATTTGCATTTTAATGGGGGAAATAAGTATTTGACCCCTTTGCAAAACATGACTTAATACTTGGTGGCAAAACCCTTGTTGGCAATCACAGAGGTCAGACGTTTCTTGTAGTTGGCCACCAGGTTTGCACACATCTCAGGAGGGATTTTGTCCCACTCCTCTTTGCAGATCTTCTCCAAGTCATTAAGGTTTCGAGGCTGACGTTTGGCAACTCGAACCTTCAGCTCCCTCCACAGATTTTCTATGGGATTAAGGTCTGGAGACTGGCTAGGCCACTCCAGGACCTTAATGTGCTTATTCTTGAGCCACTCCTTTGTTGCCTTGGCCTTGTGTTTTGGGTCATTGTCATGCTGGAAGACCCAGCCACGACCCATTTTCAATGCCCTGGCTGAAGGAAGGAGGTTCTCACCCAAGATTTGACGGTCCATGGCCCCGTCCATCGTCCCTTTGATGCGGTGAAGTTGTCCTGTCCCTTTAGCAGAAAAACACCCCAAAGCATAATGTTTCCACCTCCATGTTTGACGGTGGGGATGGTGTTCTTGGGGTCATAGGCAGCATTCCTCCTCCTCCAAACACGGCGAGTTGAGTTGATGCCAAAGAGCTCCATTTTGGTCTCATCTCATCTGACCACAACACTTTCACCAGTTGTCCTCTGAATCATTCAGATGTTCATTGGAAAACTTCAGACGGGCATGTATATGTGCTTTCTTGAGCAGGGGGACCTTGCGGGCGCTGCAGGATTTCAGTCCTTCACGGCGTAGTGTGTTACCAATTGTTTTCTTGGTGACTATGGTCCCAGCTGCCTTGAGATCATTGACAAGATCCTCCCGTGTAGTTCTGGGCTGATTCCTCATCGTTCTCATGATCATTGCAACTCCACGAGGTGAGATCTTGCATGGAGCCCCAGGCCGATGGAGATTGACAGTTCTTTTGTGTTTCTTCCATTTGCGAATAATCGCACCAACTGTTGTCACCTTCTCACCAAGCTGCTTGGCAATGGTCTTATAGCCCATTCCAGCCTTGTGTAGGTCTACAATCTTGTCCCTGACATCCATGGAGAGCTCTTTGGTCTTGGCCATGGTGGAGAGTTTGGAATCTGATTGATTGCTTGCTTCTGTGGACAGGTGTCTTTTATACAGGTAACAAGCTGAGATTAGGAGCACTCCCTTTAAGAGTGTGCTCCTAATCTCAGCTCGTTACCTGTATAAAAGACACCTGGGAGCCAGAAATCTTCTGATTGAGAGGGGGTCAAATACTTATTTCCCTCATTAAAATGCAAATCAATTTATAACATTTTTGACATGCGTTTTTCTGGATTTTTTTGTTGTTATTCTGTCTCTCACTGTTCAAAAAAACCTACCATTAAAATTATAGACTGATCATTTCTTTGTCAGTGGGCAAACGTACAAAATCAGCAGGGGATCAAATACTTTTTCCCTCACTGTACCAACTCAAACATGCCAACTCAAACATACCAACTCAAAAATACCAACTCAACACAGAAAGGCGCCGAATTGGGAATCAAACGCAAGGCCTTCTTGCTGTGAGGCATGCGAGTCCACCACTGAGGAGTCCACCACTGAGTCACCACTAAGAAGTCCACCACTGAGGAGTCCACCACTGAGTCACCACTAAGAAGTCCACCACTGAGGAGTCCACCACTGAGTCACCACTAAGAAGTCCACCACTGAGTCACCACTAAGGAGTTCACCAGAGTCACCACTGAGTTCACCACTGAGTCCACCACTGAGGAGTCCACCACTGAGTCCACCAATGAGTCCACCACTGAGGAGTTCACCACTGAGGAGTCCACCAATGAGTCCACCACTGAGGAGTCCACCACTGAGGAGTCCACCAATGAGTCCACCACTGAGGAGTCCACCACTGAGTCCACCAATGAGTCCACCACTGAGGAGTCCACCACTGAGGAGTACACCAATGAGTCCACTACTGAGGAGTCCACCACTGAGGAGTCCACCACTGAGGAGCCCACCAGAGTCCACCACTGAGGAGTCCACCATCGAGTCCACCAGAGTCCACCACTGAGGAGTCCACCACTGAGGAGTCCACCACTGAGGAGTCCACCACTGAGTCCACCACTGAGGAGGCCACCACTGAGGAGTCCACCAGAGTCCACCACTGAGGAGTCCACCACTGAGGAGTCCACCACTGAGGAGTCCACCACTGAGTGCACCACTGAGGAGTCCACCACTGAGGAGTCCACCAGAGTCCACCACTGAGGAGGCCACCACTGAGGAGTCCACCAGAGTCCACCACTGAGTCCACTACCAGAGTCCACTACTTAGTCTACCACTGAGGCCACCACTGAGGAGTCCACCACTGAGTCCACCACCGAGTGAGTCCACCACTGAGTCCACCACTGAGTGAGTCCACCACTGAGTGAGTCCACCAGAGTCCACCACTGAGGAGGCCACCACTGAGGAGTCCACCAGAGTCCACCACTGAGTCCACTACCAGAGTCCACTACTGAGTCGACCACTGAGGCCACCACTGAGAAGTCCACCACTCCGCCACGCCGATCCTCGCTGCTACGACGTTGCTCATTCTAAAGCCAGCCTCAGTAACTTTTCCCTGCCCCATTCCACACACGCGCCGCCGGCACGCTCCTACTGCCACTTCCTCTTCACCCTCCTAACACGAATACTTTGCATTTCGACGCGATAGTATCAGTCGCGTCAACAAGGAGTCTGTGGTTCACTCCCAACTCGGATCGATCAAGACGTCCTGAGTAATTGGTTGCTGTAAATGTCCGCGTGATGATGAGCCACGTTCGCTGGGCTAACATTCGCGATAGCGAGGTCGCTTCTGAAAAAAAATTGCTTCGTAACGCATGGGGGCCTTACCTGATCAAATAAAAAAAAAAACAGTTTATAGTTTTATAGTTTAGAAATGGCTTTCGATAGTCCTGGATCACGCGCGGCAAGAGACTGGGGCCGGTCACGAGTCTGACGTTGACGTGCAAGCGATCCAAATGGATAACTTCGCCATCGTGTGAGCGTACGCCACGCACTCGTTCGCGCACACACACACACACATGCACGCACGCACTCACTCACACACGCATGCACTCACACACGCACACATGCACACACTCAAGCACGCACTCACACACGCACGCACTCACGCACGCACGCACGCACTCATGCACGCACGCACGCACTCACACACACACGCATGCATGCACGCACGCACTCACTCACACACGCAAGCACGCACTCACACACGCATGCATGCACACACTCAAGCACGCACACGCTCAAGCATGCACTCACGCACGCACGCATGCACTCACTCACTCACTCACGCACGCACGCACACACTCAAGCACGCACTCACGCACGCACTCACGCACCCACACACACACACGTACTCACACACGCACGTACTCGCACACGCACGCACGCACGCACCTGATCTGCATGCCCTTGCTCCACGAGCACATGTCTTTGCGCAGCAGCAGGTTGTTGAGGGTGGTGGAGCCCAGCTGATAGAACACCTGGCGCACCACCTGCTTCACCAGCTCGGGGTCCATGCCGTGGTGGCACATCGTGTCGTAGATCACGGACAGCTGGCGCAGGATCGACTCGAGGGTGAAGTGGGAGCCCCCGTTGGCGATGCTGGACGAGCGCTTGCGCAAGCCGGTGGCCTTCACGCTCGACACGCTCTGGATCGTCTCGTGCTCCAGCATTCCGGGCACTGGCCAACGGGAAAAGCAAGAGTGCACACTTAAAAAAAAGAAACACATTTGTAAAAAAAAATATTATCCATCCCAATTGTCACCCCACGAGACTACGAACAGACTCGGATCTCTTCGCACCTCCGATCAGCACGGTTGGCTACGTGCGGACGACGCGAAAGAAGTTCAACGTACGTACAGAGAGCGGTGCAACTGTCCTATGCTCGAGAGAGCGGCTCGCTGAAGCGGGCATCGCAGAGCTAGCTCTGAGATCCCTTCAAGTGACTCCACTGGCACAGTAGAAGGCCAACACTCTCCCAACCTGCTCCACATATGCCAGTGAGGTTCGTCCTACGAAAGTAAAACCAATACTTCAGTGTCAGAGGTGGAATTCAGACAAATTATGTGCAGAACCAAATTTTATGCAATGGGGGCTTTTGTGTGTGTGTGTGCAGTCATCTGAGACCATCAAGTCGCTGCACTTGAGAACCCGACTTGGCCACAGGTAGCTGTCGAAACTCAGGATTCTAACTCAGGATTCTCAGCCAGCGCCAGCTCAGCGCTACGACCTCTATGCCGCACGACAACCTCAAAAGGCGCGCGTTTTAAAACCGACAATTCCAAAACAAAATGTAAGCCCCGCGCACTAATTGCACCGTAAACTCAAGTGCCCCAGCATTCCGAGATCAATGCAGTTCGTGTGCTGGGTTCGTTTTAAAGCAAAACGACTGAGCAGCGTCCGCACCAAACATGTTTACGGGCCCATCGTTAAAAAAATAACAAAAAACATCGAAAGGGGAACCGATAGCTTTGGGTTATAAATAGAGACGACACACGCGTCACAAATAGCTACTTAGATCAATATCCCCGCTGTTACATTCTACAAGTGTGGGAGTTTAAACACGTGTGGGGGAAAAAAAATGTATCAATCAGCAAAGGTGGCGTTTTTTGCCTACCAACTCCGGCTCATCGTGTCGAACACGGACACCATGACGACCGACTAGGCCAATGGGGAAGTCAGAAACCAAACAGGCACAATAGATCCCTACTCTTTGGTTCTATTGGGTAAAGTCACGTAGGTGAACCAAAGAGTATGGATCCTAGCAGTCACGAAAGCTTTAAATCTAGAAAGGCACAATAGATTTGTTTTAAGCGCAGACATTGGTGACCTCTACGTCTGCTATCTTTTTTTTGTGCTAAATTGAGAGGCCCCCGGTGACCCCACGTGACCCCACGTGACGTACAACACACACGGTTCCCCCGCCCCTCCGATTGTCACGGTTAGCTACGTACGGCGCAAAAGAAGTTCAACATACAGACACGCATACATGTAAACGCAGGCGTCACGAGCTCAACAATTAGCACTGGTCAGTGAGTCCGATGCGCAGTCGCATCCTGACCGCGGCACGATTACATCCGGTGGCTGCGTAACGAAACTCCAGGACCTTACAAAAGATTCACGGACTTGATTTTATCTCCTCAAGTTTCCAGCTTTGCCGTCTGGCTGCGCGAAGCAATTCACGCCACGCGCGTCACCGAGGCTGCGTTTGCACACGGGGGCGGTCATCCCCCGCCCCTCCGCTACCCGAGCTCTGCCTGACAGCACTTGCCCCAACAGTCTGTTCAGGCTATACAGGGGATCTTTGTCTTTGTGCGTGTGACAAAGTCCCCGTGGTGAGCTCCTCCAACAGGCAAGTCTGCATTGACTGGGTCATGTAGCCCGCATGCGGGGAGTGGTAGTGTAGCGGTTAGCGCGCTGCGCTACGAACCTGGCGACCCGGGTTCGATTCCCGTTCACGGCCAACACCCAGTGACGATTATCTGAACGGGTCCCGGGCCTCCCCTAGGTCCACTCAGCCTCAAATGAGTACCTGGTGTGATGTGTAAACATCGTCGCTAGGAAGACAAAGACGGTCGGGCGTGGTGTTGGCCACCCACCCCCTCGTGTGCCGTGTCGGCCTTCATAGGGGCTCGCTAACAGCACTTTCCCCGACAGTCTGTTAAGGCTAAATGGGGAATCTTTGTCTTTATTTGTGTGTGCGTGGCAAGGTGTGTGTGTGGCAAGGCGTATTTGCCAAGTGGTGGTGTAGCGGTTAGCGCGCCGTGCTATGAACCTGGCGACCCGGGTTCGATTCCCGCTCACGGCCAACACCAGTGACGATTATCTGAACCGGTCCTGGGCCTCCCCTAGGTCGACTCAACATCGCCACTGGGGAGACAAAGGCGGTCGGGCGTGGTGCTGGCCACCCACCCCCTCGTGTACTGTTCCGGCCTTTATAGGTGCTCGCTAATAGCACTTGCCCCTACAGTCTGTTAAGGCTATACGGGGGATCTTTGTCTTTGTGTGTGGCAAGGTGTGTGTGTGTGCGTGGCAAGGTGTGTGAGGCAAGGCAGGCTCCTCGTTACTGGAAGAGGACGCCAGGAAAGGAGCCAGGTTGAGATCCACCGAATCAAGTTGCAATTGGTAGCAGAGCACAAACGGTGGGCCGCGCCTCAATTCAGCGCTTCCTAGTTTTATATTTTACGACAGAAACCCAACGGCACGAATCGACGGACGCATTTCGCAATTTCATAGCAGAGCTACTCTACCAATGCAAACTAATTTAGGCTGCGGCTACGGGATTTGTACCGGGGGAGGGCCGTGCCTTAATTTAAGCCGGTTACATATTATAATGAACCCATTCATCAGCGTGTAACAATGTGAAATATTAATTTACTAAATATCCTTGCCTGGAAATTACAGCTATCGTGCGAGTCTTAAACACAACGCCACGCTCACAGTAGGAACGTTCAGTCGTTGAGTGAGACCAACGTGTGGCGTGAATCTGAACTCGGTAATAAGCCCCCTGGGCACTAACGAAATAAAATAGAAAGAGGAAACCATCTACTACACTAAACCATCATCTACTACACTAAACCATCTACTACTACACTAAACCATCATCTACAACACTAAACCATCATCTACTACACTAAACCATCATCTACTACACTAAACCATCATCTACTACACTAAACCATCTACTACACTAAACCATCTACTACACTAAACCATCTACTACACTAAACCATCTACTACACTAAACCATCATCTACTACACTAAACCATCATCTACTACACTAAACCATCTACTACACTAAACCATCAACTACACTAAACCATCATCTACTACACTAAACCATCTACTACACTAAACCATCATCTACTACACTAAACCATCATCTACTACACTAAACCATCTACTACACTAAACCATCTACTACACTAAACCATCTACTACACTAAACCATCATCTACTACACTAAACCATCTACTACACTAAGCCATCTACTACACTAAACCATCATCTACTACACTAAACCATCATCTACTACACTAAGCCATCATCTACTACACTAAACCATCTACTACACTAAACCATCATCTGCTACACTAAACCATCTACTACACTAAACCATCTACTACACTAAACCATCTACTACACTAAACCATCATCTACTACACTAAACCATCATCTACTACACTAAGCCATCATCTACTACACTAAACCATCTACTACACTAAACCATCATCTGCTACACTAAATCATCTACTACACTAAACCATCTACTACACTAAACCATCTACTACACTAAACCATCATCTGCTACACTAAACCATCTACTACACTAAACCATCTACTACACTAAACCATCTACTACACTAAACCATCATCTGCTACACTAAATCATCTACTACACTAAACCATCATCTACTACACTAAACCATCTACTACACTAAACCATCATCTGCTACACTAAACCATCATCTACTACACTAAACCATCTACTACACTAAACCATCTACTACACTAAACCATCATCTACTACACTAAACCATCATCTACTACACTAAACCATCATCTACTACACTAAACCATCTACTACACTAAACCATCTACTACACTAAACCATCATCTACTAGACTAAACCATCTACTACACTAAACCATCATCTACTACACTAAACCATCTACTACACTAAACCATCTACTACACTAAACCATCATCTACTACACTAAACCATCTACTACACTAAACCACCATCTACTACACTAAACCATCATCTACTACACTAAACCATCATCTACTACACTAAACCATCATCTACTACACTAAACCATCTACTACACTAAACCATCATCTACTACACTAAACCATCTACTACACTAAACCATCTACTACACTAAACCATCATCTACTACACTAAACCATCTACTACACTAAACCATCTACTACACTAAACCATCTACTACACTAAACCATCATCTACTACACTAAACCATCTACTACACTAAACCATCTACTACACTAAACCACCATCTACTACACTAAACCATCATCTACTACACTAAACCATCATCTACTACACTAAACCATCATCTACTACACTAAACCATCTACTACACTAAACCATCATCTACTACACTAAACCATCTACTACACTAAACCATCTACTACACTAAACCATCATCTACTACACTAAACCATCTACTACACTAAACCATCTACTACACTAAACCACCATCTACTACACTAAACCATCATCTACTACACTAAACCATCATCTACTACACTAAACCATCATCTACTACACTAAACCATCTACTACACTAAACCATCTACTACACTAAACCATCATCTACTACACTAAACCATCTACTACACTAAACCATCATCTACTACACTAAACCATCTACTACACTAAACCATCTACTACACTAAACCATCATCTACTACACTAAACCATCTACTACACTAAACCATCTACTACACTAAACCACCATCTACTACACTAAACCATCATCTACTACACTAAACCATCATCTACTACACTAAACCATCATCTACTACACTAAACCATCTACTACACTAAACCATCATCTACTACACTAAACCATCATCTACTACACTAAACCATCATCTGCTACACTAAACCATCGAGTCCGCACCAAGCCTGAACCGGAGATCGAATTTCCATAAGCAGACTTCACCATCCTAAAGTTAAATTTTAAATTATACCTGGCCGGGAGGTTTCTCTTGTTAACGTAAACATCGTGCATTGACGTTTCGTTTGAATGTGACCGCGCCCCAAGATGTTGTGCAGCCGCACGTGGTCAACGCTTATCTTACAGACGGGCAGCCAGTGAGTCATTGGCAGTGTAAAACAAAGGCGGTACAGTGGCTGGAGTTGGACAGGGCCAGGGAGCTGACAGGGCGGACGGCTGGGGGAACGGAGCTCCAGACAGTGCGGGCAGCAGCGGAGGATGAGCGACCTTTCAAACCAGACGACGTCACGACCATGTGAGAGCAACTGCAGTGCACGGAGACTCGTGATCACTTGGAGTACCAATGCGGGCATGTCATGGACTCATGTGGAATGCATTACTCCGAATTGGAATGCCGCAGAGAGAACTGGAAAAGACTCACGTGTGTGCTTGGTGGACATGTGTGTACAATTAAGCTCGTGCAGGGTTGCCACAATGAACCGGGACGTACCATGGAAAGAACAATATCTCTTAATGGGAGAGGTTATAATGACTGAACGTGTAAACCCATTGTCCAGAGTTGTGTAGTATTATTATTTTTAATGTTAATACAAAATCCACGACTTTCTAACGTCCCGGGAGGAATTGCACAGTTCCTAGGACAGTGATGGCAAGGAGAGGACATCCTTGGGAAAGCCAGGACGGGTGGCAACCGTGGTTTTGTGTCATGGAACATGCGCGCCGGAAGGCGAGGCCGACACACGTACCAATCATGGGCTGCAGGACGACCTCAATGATCTTGATCAGCTGCTGGTAGATGTGGATCGCCAGGTCGCTCAGCACCTGCCGGTACTCGGTGAGGTCAAAGTTCTTGAGGCAGTGCTCGTTCTGCTTGGAGGTGTTCTGCTGCGCATAGCCCTGAGTGCAGACACGGCGACCCCATGCGTCACACACGTGTCACACGTGCGGCACACGCGCGGCACACGCGCGGCACACGCGCGTCACACACGCGGCCCACACGCGCGGCCCCCGCGCATCACACGCGCGGCCCCCGCGCGTCACACACGCGGCACACACGCGGCACACACGCGGCACACACGCGTCACACACGCGTCACACACGCGTCACACACGCGGCCCACACACGCGGCCCACACGCGCGGCCCCCGCGCATCACACGCGCGGCCCCCGCGCGTCACACACGCGGCCCACACGCGTCACACACGCATCACACACGCGGCCCACACGCGGCCCACACGCGGCCCACACGTGTCACACACGCGGCCCACACTCGGACCCCGCGCATCACACAAGCGGCCACCGGTCGCGCGCCACCCCCCCGGAGATGCTGCACCGGTGCGCCGCCGCTATCACGCGGCGCGGCGCTCGCAATCCGGTGGGGGAGGGGGGGGGAGGTCGCCGCTCGATTTGACCTCCCGGCAACAGCAGTAGAAACAATGGAACGAGTTTCTCAAGTTCTCCCTGACTCCTGTCCACAGTGAGTCCATCTGTAGGCTGTACGTGGTGGGGTAAAGTGTGGGTACGCCAACCTCTGCTTGGTCACCCAAACAGCTGTGGAAGAGTTGGCCAAAATACACTCAAGGTCAACGGCCCTGCTCCATAGCTAAGAAGCAGAACCATTGCCTGAAACGTTGCCTATTATATAAAGCACACTGGGGAGTCTCACTCATGAGAAAAAGTCACCTCCTCCTGAGACATACCGAGACAAGCCAAGACACACCGAGACACACTCTCACCTCCTCCTGAGACACATCGAGACACACCAAGTCACACACTCACCTCCTCCTGAGACACATCGAGACACACCAAGACACACACTCACCTCCTCCTGAGACTCACCTCCTCCTGAGACACACCGAGACACACCAAGACGCACACTCACCTCCTCCCCGCTGTACTGCTTGAGGCAGTGAAGTAGGCGGCACGTGTTGGACAGCCAGAAGCAGACGATCTCAAAGTCATCGTTGCGCTTCTGAAATAAACGCCAAGACAGCATCAACGTCCGACTCTGGACGAACGCAGCGGCGTGCGAGGGTCTGGGGGACGAGCAACCGGTACGGGAAACCCACGGAGTCTCTTTGTCCACTGGCCAAAGCGGGCACTCGCACAGAGCATCGTGACACGCCGTGCAGCATCCGTGCCTCCCTGTGTGAGTGGTGACGAGCGGTGATGAGCGGTGACGAACGGTGATGAGACCCATATTCTTGGTTCTTTCGGTAAAGTCACGCAGAAGGGAAACAATAAAATAATAAAAATATAAAATAATGAAATTATCACGACTTTTTGACTGCAACACAAGCAATCATCATCAGGTGTGAAAACCACAGCAAGAAAATTTGAAAAAAGTGGCGTTTTTTAAAATATTTTTTTTTATTTTAACGTTAACGTTAAAAACAAACCGCCACTTTTTTCAAAATTTCTTGCTGTGGTTTTCACACCTGATGATGATTGCTTGTGTTGCAGTCGAAACGTCGTAAGAATTTTATTGTTTTATATTTTTATTATTGTATTGTTTCCCTTCTAGGTGATGGGGCCGTTCGATCACGAGTGAGCGCGGCTCATTGCGGTCACAATAGCCGAGAAAAGACGACTTTCGCGTTGGTAATTCCACGAGACAAGGAAATCATTCCAATTTGGTAGAAACATGCACATACAGGAATATATGAATTGGTTTGCCTTCTGCTTTGCAGTTCAATGGCACACCGACTCGTGTGAAACAAAAAAACCAACGTAAAACGCCGCAGAGGCACTTTAAAAGCCGAGTCCTAGATCCAGAAAAATCTACGGCTCTTCAGCTCCAGCTTGACGCCAACTCCAGACTCGCCGCTGGAAACATTGCGAATGCAAGCGCCCTTGAAGCTACAACCCCCCCCCCAACCCCCGTTTAAAAAAAACAAACAAATCGTTTTTGTTGTTTACAATTGCATGTCATATTTCTCAGATCGTATTCCGGTGTCGTTTCGCGTCTCATTATGGACGTGACGATCTCCCCTTGTTAGGAGAATGGCCTCTCAGCGGGTTTTACTCCGGTCAAGGCTTCACACAAAAGTGCCACGTGTTTGATGTTCTTGTCTTTGGTAGCTGAAGTAGCTGCCAAAGAACCGCGTCCGATATCTCGTGCAAGTGACCTCCGATCCCACTCTCCGGGAGGGGAGCGGCGATGACACTTTCCCGTCGCCCTGTTACAGTCGCCTGGCGCGCCCAAGACTCGAAATGTTTGATTGACCCGACTGAAATATTCAAGAGCCGGTTAAGGAATGCGGTAGGAAAGAAAAGTTGTCATGTGGCCCAACACAGCACGGGTACCTTGAGGACTTTCTTGATGCCGTTGATAGTGGAGGTGAGCAGCGAGCGGACCTTCTGGTCATCGTTGGTGTAGTCGGCGTGGCGTACACACATGAACAGGATGTACGCGGGCAGCCCCGGAAGGAGCCTCTGGGACAGCTCATTTGGCTTCAAGTCTAGCGTCGCATACACAATAGCATGCACACACAGCAGCACACACACAACACAGCAGTCACACACAAAACATAGCAGCACGCACACACAACAGTCACAAAGACAAAGATCCCCCGTGTAGCCTTAACAGACTGCTAGGGCAAGTGCTGTTAGCGAGCACCTATGAAAGCCGGTACGGCACACGAGGGGGTGGGTGGCCAACACCACGCCCGACCGCCTTTGTCTCCCCAGTGGCGATGTTTACACACCGCACAAGGTACTAATTTGAGGCTGAGTCGACCTAGGGGAAGCCCAGAACCGTTTTAGATAATTATCACCGGCGTTGGCCGTGAGCGGGAATCGAACTCGGGACACCGACTGCTACACCACCGCTCCCCACACAGCAGTCACACACAGACAGTAGCACACACAACACAGCACACACACACAGCACACACACACAGCACGCACACACACAGCACACACACCAGAGGAGTCACCGCCACTAAGTGGCGGTGACGTCACCAAGACGCTTGTGCCAGGACATGTGCACCTTGAGGCCACGTGGAGTGTCGAACGCCCGCTGGCAGGTCACGGGGCAGACCCAGGTGCCACGGGTCGACTGACTGAGATGACTGAGATGACTGGCTGATGCACCACCTGTGCACCCTACTGTGCCAACCTGCTGTGCTTTAGCCACCCGGCGCTCCGCTCGTTGTTGTGAGCGTCGCTCCTCCGCCCTCCGTTGTTGTTGGAGGGCGACTACCTCCAACTGCCCAGTAGCGTCCTTCACGAGCCTCCTCCACAGAGGCCGATCTTGACACCGCTGGTACCAGTCATCGGCAAGTCCACTCAGCTCCACGTCCTCCTGTACCACATCACTCCATCTCTTCTCTAGCCTGTGCCGAGCCCGTTTAGCCCCCTCGATCCGGCCGAACAAAAGCTGTTTCGGCATGCGGTGGCTTGGCATGCGGGCTACATGACCCAGCCATCACAGCCTTGCCCGCCGGAGGAGCTCACCGATGGGACCTTGCCCAGATCTTTCAAGGATTTGTGAGCTCCTCACACAATCCAGTCTGGTTAAACCCAGGATGGATCGTAGGCAGGCCAGCCTAAATGTTTCTAACCGGCGAAGATGTTCCATTAGGGGGGTCCACGTTTCGCAAGCGTAGAGAAGGGAGGGAATGACCGTGGCCGAGAAGACCTGAAGCTTAGTGCGGAGCGACAGACCAGGTAGCTTCCACACAGCGTTACGCAACCGATGAAAAGATATTGCCGCTCGACTGATTCGGAGTGAGACCTCTGCTGTTAAACTGTAGCCGGTCATAAGCACACTTCCCAGGTATGGGAAACTCTCCACTCTCCAGTCACACACACACAGTAGCACACACATACAGCAGCCACACACAACACAGCGGCCACACACACAGTACACAACACAGCAGCCAATGCATGCAGCCAACGGACAACAACGATTGCGACCTCCGCCTCTTAATTTGACCATTCGGCTTCTACACATTCCTTGTGCATAGCTCCACGCATGACGTCACTGCGATCAGCAAAGCACAGCTGACGTGGACCAAGCTGTCGATGCTTGTGGCATCAGGTGGCATCAATGTCAATAGCCCACGGCGACACGAACATGGATATGCGGTAGGGAACGTACGTATGTTGAACCTCTTTCGCACTGACCGTACGTAGCCAACCGTGCTGATCGGAGGTGCAGTGAATGGAAGATCGTTTACTGTCATCAAAGGGGCAACGCAACTTGGCCCCCTCTCTACATCCCACGTGGCTTGGCAACGTGCAGCTAAGCGCAGCGAGGGGACAGCGTCGTTATGGAGGATTGGCCGTGCCCCCCCCCCCCACCCTGCACCCACCCCTCGTGGCAGTGAACACCTCGGCCCTCGACCGTTATCGTTTCCTTTATCTGTCCACGGCCCTGCAACAGACTGACGCGGATAAGCAGGGCGTCGCCAGCGCACGCCGCGGGTTCACACGACCCCTGCAAACACTGGAGGTGCCACATTCACCAGAGTGAATGTGGCACCTCCACCAACAACAAAAAACCCGCAAGAATCGAAAGACGACAATCCACTTCGGAGAAACGTCCAGGCCCGATCACAACACTTCGGTTCCAAAGGTTTGGTTCCTGCCCCTTACGTTAATGCGGCTCTGCCCACTTTGGGATCTCGGGGACGTGTGCCAAACGCATTTTGTTGACCCACCCCTTGGTTCCCGGTTGACTTGAGGCCAGTTTGGGAACAAGTGGTCGTGGAAACGAGGCGTCGGTTCGAGGCTCAGGGCCTCTTATTCCAAATGGGGGCGCAGATCTCGGCGAGGTTTTGTGAATTTCGCGTGGTAACCTCCTTCCAGAAAACGGGCACAAGTTGAGCGGGCCGAGCGCACGGCGCACCGACAACGAGGTTCCTGATGAGACGGTTCTCGTCGTCGTTGTGGAACTCCAGCATGCCCTGGAACTCCTTCTCCAGGCGCTGGATAGCCGGGTGACGCGTCGCCACCTCCTCGGCCGCCGGCTCCGCGTGGGGCATGACCCCCGCTGCTCGCCCCGGCACACACGCAGGGGGGCAGCCCACCGGGCGTCAACACGCGGCACAGCACGCAGACACCGTGCCGACACACGGCATGCGCCAACACACACCGAGCCTACACACGGCACAGCGCTATGCTCCAACACGGCACACACACACACACAACCGACACGTGGCACGGCACCAACTCACCAAGGCTGTGTATATATAAACAATATTATTACGTGCTGTAGATGGGGCTATCATTGCAAGGCTGTAAATGGGCTAAATTGGTCTTCGTGGAAACAGTGAGGTTTTGTGCAGTTATGTCAAGGATATTTCAAGGATATAGCTCTCACCCTCCAGGTCTTTGATCTTGCGATCCAGGAGCTTCAGCTGCTTCTTGAGCTTGCGGATCGTCTTCTCCTGGTTCTCGTTCTTTTCCCAGAGATCCTGCACACGGCCACGTGGGGGGAGGGGTGTTAGCGCCGGTGAAGCCCGGACACCCACGACTCATCATGGCCGGCTGAAGCGAGGCCGAGGTAAGCCGAAATGTATTCGCGCAGCCCTCCCTGTCAATCCACTGCTGGATGAAGGCCTCCCCATGCCACACGCACTGTGGGGATTATTTTCTACGCCGGTCAGCGCGAGTGAGTCAAGGTGGGTGGGGGGGGGGGTGGTGTAGACATGGGCAGGGGTACATGTTCCCTTGCTGCCCTCTGCCATCAGCCCCGCAGGCAAACGGATAAAGGGGCACAACCAACGCGCAGAAATAAGTCGGAGAAACGTTGCACTGCCGTCTAAACCCAGCGATGCGATGGCTGCGGTGGTGGCCGCGGCGAGTGACGGCGAGTGAGTGGAGGCGAGTGACGGCGAGTGAGTGGAGGCGAGTGAGTGGAGGCGAGTGAGTGGAGGCGAGTGAGTGACGAGTGAGTGGCGGCGAGTGAGTGACGAGTGAGTGGCGGCGAGTGAGTGACGAGTGAGTGGCGGCGAGTGAGTGGCGGCGAGTGAGTGGAGGCGAGTGAGTGGAGGCGAGTGAGTGGCGGTGAGTGAGTGACGGCGAGTGAGTGGAGGCGAGTGAGTGGAGGCGAGTGAGTGGCGGTGAGTGAGTGGCGGCGAGTGAGTGGAGGCGAGTGAGTGGAGGCGAGTGAGTGGCGGCGAGTGAGTGGAGGCGAGTGAGTGGAGGCGAGTGAGTGGAGGCGAGTGAGTGACGAGTGAGTGGCGGCGAGTGAGTGACGAGTGAGTGGCGGCGAGTGAGTGACGAGTGAGTGGCGGCGAGTGAGTGGCGGCGAGTGAGTGGAGGCGAGTGAGTGGAGGCGAGTGAGTGGCGGCGAGTGAGTGACGGCGAGTGAGTGGAGGCGAGTGAGTGGAGGCGAGTGAGTGGCGGTGAGTGAGTGGCGGCGAGTGAGTGGAGGCGAGTGAGTGGAGGCGAGTGAGTGGAGGCGAGTGAGTGGAGGCGAGTGAGTGGAGGCGAGTGAGTGGAGGCGAGTGAGTGGCGGCGAGTGAGTGGCGGCGAGTGAGTGGAGGCGAGTGAGTGGCGGTGAGTGAGTGCCGGCGAGTGAGTGGAGGCGAGTGACGGCGAGTGAGTGGAGGCGAGTGAGTGGAGGCGAGTGAGTGGAGGCGAGTGAGTGGCGGCGAGTGAGTGGCGCCGCCGTGCCAGGTTCTCGTTGGTGAGGCGCGTGATCTCCAGCTGTAGGCTGGGCTCCACGCGCGCGTCCGGTGGCAGCTGCAGCGACTGCGCGAGCCGCCCGTTCTCCTCCCTGAGCAGCGCCGTCTCGCGCCGCGACGACTCCAGCTGCGCCTCGTGGCGGCGCGCCTGGGCCTGCAGCTGGCTCTCCAGCAGCCTGCGCGGCGAGCGGAGGTGGGCGAGCGGGTGGGGGGGGGGCGGGAGAGGGGGCGGGAGGGGGGGGTGCGGGCAGCGGGGGAGCCGTGGCGCGGTGAGAAAAACGATGAGAAGTGAGATTACGTCGCCGCTCGATCCTCACATAGGTCCACCAACTCGCCCTCCGTGAATCACCGGCGACCGGGCCGAGACCATCAATTCACTACGCACGAGGAGAACCCCGCCGAAGCGGCGCTCGATGATGCTCAGGTGCCAACTCGTGCTCTTGGTGCTCTCTGAAGCAGGGAGAGAGCTCTCCTCTCCGTTACCCGTCTCTGACCGATTACACTCTGTGGGCGATCGCTGTTCTCCCCCCCCCCCCACCCCGTCTACAACTCTCATTGCTCCTCCTGCCCATCGGCGTTGTCACTTCCGTCGCCCCCAAGCTCATGACCGACCGTTGCTTTTCTCCCCGTCGCTTTAGTCTCGCCATGCCTTGATACTCGGGAGAAGCGATGCTAGACGTGGGGGCCGGGGGATATACAGGGAATCGGGGTGAATTGAAACAGCGATTCCCAAACGCCGATGAACTATACTTGATAGCCACCCGCTACGACGCCGTCACTCTCGTCGTGCGAACACGTTCCCTTGTGCCTTACTCCGAAACTCTCCTTCGGACCCGAATTTACCTCAGAGCCACGGGCGATCAATGAACGCACGAGGCTCTGTCCCCGAGTGGCAGGCGCACGAGATGGCGTTATGACGCGCCTAGGCGGAGCGTGGCGGCGCCCACCGCCCAGAGAGGGAGGACGCACGCCTCGCGTTCGTGCTCTTGTGGAGCGAGGACAAAACCTCAAGAACAAAAGCCCCGTCAAGATTCCGTGGATGTCCACCGCCAAGGTCACGATTTCATTTCGCAACTCCTTTTCGCGATGAATCACAAAAAGAACGTTGCCGTCGCTGTGCAATTCTGTTCTCAATTTGGAATTATTTTCCCTTCCTCGCACTCTCGCACCCCACCCTCCAAAAAAAATATAAATGCCATCAGGATCTCAAATGCCGTTATTTGCATGGCAGAGAAAATAAATATGTCCCGGTCGTGTGCCCGCAGCTCACAATCAGGACAACATGCGCCTCAACTAACGAGCACACCCAGCACGACGCCAGAGAGCCGAGAGGCTGCCTGGGTGCCTGAAGGGAGCCAATGCTACGCACAGCGCCATGACTGCGACCCGGGTTCAAGGACCGCTTTACAGCTTCAGATTAGACCCGGTTCTCAAGTCCAGCGATTGTAGACACCCAACCCAGTCACGAGTCAACATCGGACGACCCACCCCTCGACGTGACACTAAAAACAAAAAGGGGGTCACACGGCAGCCCGACGCGGAGGGCTTCGTCGTTTGATGTGTAGGTGGGCAATTATTTGACGAGCAGATTGCATTCAACGCGCTATTAAAAGGTAGCTGCTTCGGTGAAGTTAATCAACAGCAGGGAATGCAATCAGTCAGCAGGCGCGTAGATATCTTTCGATGAAACGGCAACAAGCTATACGGTTGCTGTGCGAGGGACCTTGAAGTTACGCGAGGCAAAGCTGACGATTTCCCTTCTGAGTCATTCTCAACATGGTCAGGGTTCGCCTGTGTTTAAATGACTCATCATCCACTGGTTATCCACTCCTGGATGAAGACTTCCCCAAGGCACTGCTATTCCTCTTGGTCCTGCAATCCTCCCCGACATCTCGCTTCCTGAAACTCATTTCATCGCTCCACCTCCACGGCGGTCTTCCTCTTTCGGGCGTCCGCCATCGTCTCTTCGAGCGACGCGTCCTGTCCCCTGGGCTGCCCCCGCCACCCCCCCCCAAGCTTACTTTTCTCGAGTCTCTTTAATTTTTTGTTTAATCCACAATCTGCTGCTCTCCTCTCTTCTTGCCTCTCTTGCTTCAGGCCAGATCTCTGCTCCTTTGTTTGTTTGTATTCTGTACTTTAACAACAAAAAACATCAAATCGTGTTCTTTGTACGTGACCTGACGCGTCGGTAAACGTTTTTTGACACTCTTCAGTTAACAAAAAAAAGGATAAGCACACACACGCAACGTGCACACACGCGCACACGTGCATACACACGCACACACAAGCAATATAAACTAACGCAAACGCTGAAGGTACACCGCGCCACCCTCTACACGCGTTCGAGCCAACACAATGAAGTCGTTGCTTTAAACGAAGCGGGCACACGTCACGTATTGCGGGCAATGTGTCAAAACTACGGTCGGAAGCGAGCCATCCAAATGCAACCACCCGCCATGCTGACAGCAAAGTTTAATAACCTCGTGGTCTTTTTTAACCCCTCATAGGCCAGAACAAAGTCTTCGTCTTCCAGGTCCCGCTCCCGTCTGCCCAGTGACAAGGAGGCACACAACACACAATGACAAACACAGAGATTAAGGAAATGAAAGCCAAGGGGGGAGGGCGGGGGGGGAAAGGAAAAGAAAAAAATCACAGATGCAATGAAGTGGCGAATCACACGGCATGCGAGCGTTAACGATCACTTAGCACACGCGGTGCACATACACACGCGTGATATATTGGAGCGTGGGGTGCACAGTCGAAAGAAAATCAAAATGTAAATGTTTCATTTTTATTGGAAGTAGTTTGCCTATTAATTGTGGACCGTAAAACTCTGCACGTCACCGTGACCTTGAACATCGAATTTTGCAATTAAAAAGATGTCGGCGACGTGCTTCCTAGTCACAATGTTCGCGTTAGCTCTTGGCACGTCGCCTCGAGGTAACAGATCTTTGAGGGTACTGGCAGAAAAAAACCCAGCATCTGTCCTCTCTTACAAAATCATCACGAGAAAAATACTGACCTTGGAAAACCTTCTTGGTTCTTTCGGTAAAGTCACGTAGAATGGAAATAAAATAATAAAAATAAAACATGATAAAAAATATAAAATTCTCACGACGTTTCGGCCACAACACAAGTAGCCTTCTTCAGGTGAAGGAACAGAACTGTCGGGACGACAGCGCTTCGTCCCGACAGTTCTGACAGCGCTTCGTCCCGACAGTTCTGTTCCTTCACCTGAAGAAGGCTACTTGTGTTGTGGCCGAAACGTCGTGAGAATTTTATATTTTTTATTATGTTTTATTTTTATTATTTCATTTCCATTCTACGTGACTTTACCGAAAGAACCAAGAAGATGAATCCCTGCAGTCACGAAAGCTTTAAATCGAAACTTGGAAAACCTGTTGATGAAAAAACTCAATCGTACTTCGTTTTCACAATGTTATTACTGTGTGCGTAATACACGTGTGTGTGGTATATATTAACGATTATATATCCCATTGTTAATAGGTTAATAGCATTAGGTGCTCGATTGACGGGCACACAAAAGCAAGCTGCGTCTGCGGAGCACATTAACGATGCAGGCGAGCGGTGAAGTATTTTGGAGAACGGCGGTCGGTTGCAAAAAATATCTCAAGTGACATTTTCCCCTAAGCTCCAATTTAAATCGGTGTCAATCGTTGAGAGATTTTCACTTAAGATGCTTTACGCAACTGCCCCCGCAGGCCCCATGTTAATAAGCAAAGCGTTAGGAAGCGGGGGAAGGGCGACGATTAGTGGGTGGGGGGGTGCGGAGGGACGACACGAGCCTCACGACGACAGCGCGAGAAAACCGGCAACTCCCACCACCAGGGCGGCTTCTCGCCATTAGCATCATCCCACGAGCGACCTCGCTCTCGCCTCGGACTATGGTCCGACACGCGTACGCTTCGGAAACTGTGGACAAGTTCCTGAGAATCCACCACCTCCGTGCGCCCAGCCGGCAGCGTGAACGAGACTCGGCACGACGCCGCGAGTACCGAGATCACCGCCGATCGTCGCCATGGGTCCCACCCCCGTGCTTCCAGGCTGTCCGAGCCAACTGACCGATGCGCTACGAGCAGCGGTGGCCAAATGGCGTCTCCCCGAGCCGCGTGCGGCTCTTCAATCCACCACACGTGCGGGCTCTACCGGAGGGGCGCGACGTAGAACGTGCTACCGCAGCCGCAAAAGAATTATGAACTGCGCCGAAAATTGTCAAAAATATATACACACACACACACAAATCTGGCTGTCGCCTGATGCCGCTAGTTGTAATTACTGGCGAAACGTCGTACTCACATTGTAAATGTTGTAGCTTTGCTCTCCAACACACCGGTGTACTGTACTAGTGACGAACTGGCACGTTCTGTGAACGTGACAAACCTTACTAGTTGGCTGTGTCGGGTGGTGGCGGGTTTCACGAAAAAATGGATATATAAAACACTTCGATTCAAAGCTTTCGTGACTGCAGGGATTCATCTTCTTGGTTCTTTCGGTAAAGTGACGTAGAAGGGAAATAACAAAGTAATATTTTATTAGGTTTTATTATTTATTATTTTATTATTTCCATTCTACGTGACTTTACCGAAAGAACCAAGGAGATATAAACACGTATACATATATATACACTTGGCTCTTTGCAGGCGTGTCACGGGTTGGCCGCCCCTTGCCCGACAGCTCGTTGAAGCACTGCCGTGCCCCAAGGCTTTGAAGGCAGCATCGGGGCCTTGCACTGGGCATCACCGTGCGTGTGTGTGACCAGCAGACGGCAACGCGGTAATAAACACGCCTCCGTCGCGAGTTATCCTAACGCCCGCTCTAGCTCTGAGCGCACGTACACTCGTCTCTGCTCAACCCTGGTTCTGCAGCCACACATAAGCCTTCGTATGTGCCTGCTTAGATGACTACAACACGAGTATTAAACTCTAAAACACACTCACAGTTTGTGAGGAGTATACCGCATAACGTACATACATTTAAAAACATCAACTGTTACCATTCGTTGCTAAAAGTGTCACGTTAAAAACTATGCAGAGCCTACGATTTTGTTGTCCTGCATATGTGACGGCACGGGTAACCGTGGTGACCGCAAAGATGCCTTCTCATTCTCTGTGCAAAAAGGTCAAGGCGCAGGCCTGCAATTGATTCCTCACGCCACTGCTGGTGGAAGGTTCTCCGCTCGAGGGAGCCCAAGACAGCCTCTCTGCAGGAAGCTTGGCCTGCTCGGCAACGCTGGCAAGACGTCTCGGAAGACGTGGGAGTACCCCAACTTTACCCCACCGTACGCGACCTGCCAATCAACTACGCCTCATTCTCACATGCGCGCCACCGTCATTCCCCTTGGGGCCGCCTGCAGAGGAGGTCGCGTCGCCCTCTCGTCTTCACGGCTCCCGTCGTCACGGTTCCCGTCGTCATGGCTCCCGTCGTCGGGACTGTGGCGCTGGTGGAGCCGGCAAGACGCCCGCGAGGGAAGTGAATTCCGCTCGCGGAGCACACACCCCATAGACGCCCTTCTAGGCCGCAGCCTGAACGCCGCCAAATACTAACAAACTTAAATTTCATCAGCCGTTATCTATCCATCGCTCGATAACATAGCGCCAAAGTGAAGAGCATCTTAGGGCCATGATCCCGATAAGTGCTGCCAGTATGCGTGGCCAGTAAAGCCAGCGGTACTGAAAGCCTGACTTGAGAGTTGGTATTTCGGTTATGCACAGATGGTGGTGAAGAAAAACAGCCATTCCAACTTTTTTCCCCTTGCTTTCTTTGCAAGAAACTGTTGGAAAGTTTATATTCGGCCAACACCGTGAATCAGGCTGCACCGTGTTGATACGTGGCTGTGTTCATCGTTTTAATGCCAAGAGGCAACATTTTATAGCCGCTCTCGTGATACCGTGCTCAAAAATGAGTAAAGGAAGTCTACAGCCAAATTATCATGAAGTTTGACAAACTTGTTACAAATAGACTATCTAGGTAAAACAACTGTCACAAGGCAGGGCTGCTATTTAATTGCTATTTATTTATTTCCCGTTTATTTATTTTGTATAACCCTGTGAGCCATTCGGCTCTTGAATCGGGTGCAACCACAACAAACAAAAACACTCACCTCAACCCCCCTCTCCTCTCACCTCGGCCCCCCTCTCTTCTCACCTCTCCACTCACCTCAATCCCTCTCCTCAAGTATCAATGAAGGCTGGCACAGCTGACATGGATCTTTTCCTGTCCCCCCCCCATACTAATTTTTATCCACCACACCAGGCCAGGTAGGCGCCACTTTGGTGAGATGTTAACTACCTCGCCCGGTAAACAGGAGGTCGTGGGTTCGACCCCGACCCTGACGCCTGCTGTATATTTGGAATTTGAATGTCTCTCTCCGTGGTCGCGTGGATTTTTTCCCCGGGTCCTCCGGGATTTGGCTGCTATAAATATCCACGTGAATAGCCACTTCGTTGAGCTGTCATTTGCGACAGTCAGGTCGCATCTGAGAAAATAAAGCTGCAGTATATAGCTCAGTGGGCCTTACCTGGTAACGTAAACATTTGTTTAGTCTCCGAGTTTAGTCGATAAATTCAAAAACCGTCACATGCGTCGTTCAATGCCAGGGAGAAAGGGGGCATGCACGCGCAAGCGTGGGCATGCACGCGTAAGCGTGGTCTTCGCGTCTCACCGCCCCGCGGCGATCCGATGCGTTACCGCTCGCGCCACGGGACGGGGCGAGTCGGCGGCGATCGCCGCGTGACGTCACGTGGAACGCCGCGCACGCACGCGCATGCACGCACGCGCATGCACGCACGCAAAGCACGCACGCAAAGCACGCACGCAAAGCACGCACGCAAAGCACGCAGCACGCACCTGTTGGCCTCGCGCACGCCCATGTACGCCCTCTTCACCTCCTCCTCGTCGTCCAACTTCTCCAGGTCCTGGGCAAAGCGCGCCGATGCCTCGGACATGGATCCCTGTGCGAGGCCCGGCGCGAAACGGCGTGGTTAGGCACACACTCACCCGCGCCGCTCCACACGACTCAACATGCTCCCCCCAACACCCGACTCCCCCCCCCCTCCTTCCCTAGGCGACACTAGAAGCATAGGAATCGATAAAACATTACCAAATGCAACAGAAACTAAGCTTAGTTTACTTTAAGGCTGAGGATGATGTAAGAAACCAAATTGTCACCGTTAACCCGACGACTGTTTCCCTTATGTCATTCCACCTACATTGTTCCTAGTCATGGTTTCGGTGAGCGAGGATGAAGTCAGCGACCTTCTACTGGGTTAGCTCCATCACATGGGCGAGCTTCGGTTAACCCCCACAGCGAGCTGGGCCTGAGGCCGAACCGCCCGTCACGTCTCGGCTCACGTTCACAATCTCATGGGAATTTTTCCTGAAACCTAGACGAGCACAGAGCCCACGTGGCACGTACGCACACATGTATGTTGAACTTCTTTCACGCCGTACGTAGCCGACTAATTGTCGGGGTCCTGGAAGCAGTACGAAAAAATTCAGCAACAACCCTCAGACCCCCGGCGGGGTTGGGGTTAAACGTACGTCACCACTGCCGTGCCACCACTCCTCGCTCGCTCGCTCACCTTCTGCCGCTCGCCGCCCAGGATCTGCGACTTGAGGTGCAGCACCTCCTCGCGTCGAACCTCGAGCTCCTCCAGCGCGGCGTTGAGGTGTCCCAGGACGTGGTCGTACGGCGTGCAGCCAGCCGCCCGGCCGGGCCCCGTGGCCCGCTCGTCGTCCCGCAGCGAGTGCCGCAGCTCGTCCAGCTCCGACTTGAGCCGCCGGTTCTCCGCTTCCAGCTCGCTCCGCTGCCGCGGCGGGACAAGGCGTGCGCACGTTCTATTCGCGAGGCCCGGAGCAAGGTCTTCCCAGGGCACCTAAGCTAGCAGCGCTAGAGTCCGTTCTCCTATAACGCTGCGTGTTGTTTTCACAATGCAAATTGAGACGCGAGGAGTGTGCTAGGGAACGCATTTTTGTAAAACGCGGATGCGAATTGGAAACCACGCGATCGAGCCAACGGAACCACGTCGCGTCGAGTAGGGACAAGCAGTCGTACGGCTGCCCCGGCGTAGCATCGCACGAGGCGTTGGGATGCTACTGGATGCTGCTGGATGCGACCCCACGTGCCTCAAGTCTTTGTTCGGCCTGCGCTACGCATCCCGCGTGTCATCGCGGACTCTGCTTTACCCCCTATAGTATTTATTATTTATTACAACGCTATTTTTCCATAACGCGGTGTTCTTCAGGAACACAACTATCATCGCGTTATAGGAGAACACACGTGACTCCACTGGTGCATCCGAGCTGAGCCTGCGCAGGGGCCTTCACGGTGCCAGTAGCCTTCCGCTGCCTATTTGTTGTGCCTAGCCGCGTCCAAACCGTGATACGCCTGCCTCACGAGACACCTGAATTTAGCCTGGGGCCGAGCAGGGCCAGGGGTCAGGGCCAATGGCGTGTCCGTTGCGTGCGACGTCGGTCATTGCACTGTGATGACACAGCGTCGCCGTGTAATTTACATGAGTACCGACTCTTTTCTTTGTAAGTGATGGGAGGCACAGTGGAAAAACAACCTGTTGCCTCCTGACCTGAGCCAGGTTGTCTCGGCATGGCTCCATGTAAAAAGAGTACGTGGACCATGGTAGAATAACATGTGCATATGCATCCACTGCTGGATGAGGGTCTCCCGCGTGGGCCATGTGGGTTCTCTAGGCTGGTCATTGTGGGTTGGTGAAGGTCGGTAGAAGGTCGGTAGAATACAACAATGCATTTTGCTGCACCGTCCACAACAGCTGATTTATGCACAGTGATCACCCATCCAAGACCGATCCAGGCTCAACCCTTCTTAGCCTCCGAGATCTGTATGTATGTTGAACTTCTTTCGCACCGTACGTAGGCCAAGATTTGCCGTGTTCAGAGTGATTTGGCCACGGCCTATCAGTTAACAAATGACTCCCATTCTACAAAAGTGCCGACTAAAGTGGCGATGACAATCTCTTGACCTTGCCCGGTGTGTTTATTTTAACGCACCGCCCCAATCATGCTGCAGCGACGTCACACCTTTTAGACTCCCCAGTTACCGAGCCCAAGGTCGAAGGTCCATACCTTGAGGTCGTCGTACTCAATCTCCACGTCAGTGCGGGGGTCGGCCGCCCCCTTGGCTGCCGGGAGGGCCTGGTCGGACACCGAGTCGCCGTCGATGCCCTGGAAGCCGACAAAGCCGCCGCCGCTTAGCACACTCACTCCCAGAGCCACGCGCGCACACACTGCAGCCAATCGGTCTCTCCGTGGGTTTACAGTGACGAAAGACCACACGGCATATAAAGGTGCATTCAGAGAAAGCACTCGCACAGGGGCCGGCAACCAAAATAACAGGAAGAGCCATTTTTTCCAAAAATATGGTGAATGGCGAGACGGTGGTCCTCCTTAATAAACGACGTCACGAAGCAGCAGCCCTGCACGAGCATGAAGAAGGGCGAGAAGAGGAGGCAGTGGAGGGAAGTCGGAGAGAAGGGAGAAGAGACGGCGAGAGAGCCAGAGAGGGTGCACGGTGACGCGGACCAACGGTAGCTCGTCCGCCGCTCGTTGCAGAAGGGTCCACAGTTCGAACGAAGCGGCCGCCCTGATTAATACCGCGGTTCACATCGACAGCAACGATGCTACCCGTCGTACGCGTGACAGTGGACGTTAAAGAACCCGCGTCACATGATTCACAAGAGAAAGCCATTGTGTGCCGGCGTCGCGGTCCAGATTTGAACACGTCACTCCGTGGCATCTGCACAGCAATCATCGCCCCGCGCCCCCCTCTCCAATCCAAAAACTTTGCAGGACCATGCTGAAAAAGAGCCATCACACAGCGAGGCTTTTGTGGGTAAACAGGCGAAAAAATTAAATTATTAATGATATAAATAATGAAGACAAAGAGAGAGGTAGAGAGAAAGGAGGAGAGGGGAGATGGGAGAGCACCTTGCCCTCGTGTCTGTCGAGGCGCTCCTGCATCCAGCGCTTCTCCTGCTCCAACTCCCGCACGCGTTTCTGCAGCTTCAGGAAAATGGTGAAGTCCATCGCGGCTTTGACGGTGTCCACCTCCTGACACGGTGGCGACATCGATCCCTCATCATCATCATCATCATCGCAAACCACCACCATCATGATCACCGCCATCACCACAATCATTTCCATGACCAATAATCACCATCACCACCATGACCATCATCACCATCAAGATGGCTCACCACAATGGGATCCCCCGCAATCATTGTGAATAAGAGGCAATTCACCCTCATTGCTGCCAGCAAAGGTTGGTGCGGCAGCAGCAGCAGGGGCAGCAGCAGGGGCATTAGTAGAAGCCACAGGGGCAGCAGCAACAGCCAGGGCAGCAGCAACAACAAGGGTAGCAGTGGCAGCAGCGGGGGCAGCAGGAGCAGCGCTAATTTCCGAGTGTCACAAAAGGCTTGCAGCAGCAGCAGCGCGTCTGACACCCACACGCACCCCTTGGTTTTCATCGCCTCCATTAGCACCGGCACACAGCGTAATAGTAGTAGTAGCAGTCACACACCAGCCTGGTATTATCTAAATTAGGCATTTCCAAAGTGCAAGCCATGACTTTTCAAATCGTTAGTAATGATCCCCAAAGATGGTTATTGTGAACGGGCCCAAATGTCACAGATACAAATAAATACCCTCAACTGGGAATTAACATTACCAATTATGCTAATACGCCAATTATACGAATACACCTGTTACATCTCCTACTCAGGATGGATAACGAATCCCAAACGAGTTTCACGTGGTTAAATGGATGACATTTAAATTAAATATAATCGTTAGAGGAAAGCGGTGGTCTCCAATCTCCACAACACGCATTCACGCAGGGCGGTGGTCTCCAATCTCCACAACACGCACTCACGCAGGGCGAGCCCCTTGCATGGGGAAGCAATTCTTGAGAACGGAGAATGACGAAGAGGCAGGAGCGCATCGAAAGTGGTGGCGGTGCGATGAGACAGGGAGAGAAGAATGCGAACTGCTAGAGCGTTGGGGAACATCGTCACAGCAAACAAGGGCAGTGGGGGAAACGGGGCCACGGCGCGCGTTGGGAAAGTTTCGAGTCACCGGCGCTGGGACCGGCGCAACGGAATGGTGTGGGGGGGGGGGGGGGGGGGGGGCGCGTGGGGCCGGGCCTCGGCACGAGTGGCGGCGTCGGTGTGGGTGCCGAGAGAGAGACGCTCGCACGCCAACCGAGCCGAGTGCCGCACGGCAAACGAGACACGAGACAACTTGGCGCTTGCGCGCGTGCGGACGAGATGCGGACGAGCCAGGGTGCCGCTGCAATCAATGCTCGTTGCGCACTCCGCTGCTGGATGGGTGCGAACGTAGCGGGCCACGGATATGGAGGCAAGCCGCACCTCCAGGTGGCGGGTCAAGTCCGTGGTGTCGACGTCGGACGTCATGATGGAGTTGTAGGCCGACTCCGACTCGTTGCTGCTCTGCGTGGAGCCGGTCCTCCTGTGGCCCGGCTTCGCGGTTGCCTGCGGCGAGAAGCGGAACGTGCACGGTCGGCGGGGCAGTCGGCATCTTCACTCGGGCAGGCCCGCCCCCTCGGGTATCTGTCCTGAGACAGATACCCGAGGGCCCGCGGGCACGTGAGGCCGCTTCGGAACGGCCCTGCGAACGATGTTTATCCGTCACGACAGCGCCGAGTGTTGTTGGCGAGTGCCTACGTTGCCCAGGACGGCACACGAGAGGGCGGCGTGGCTAGCACCGCTCCTTTGTCTCCCCAGGGATGGTTATATACAATGTACCGAATACACTATTAGGGCTGAGTCGACCTAGGCATGGACCAAGATGGTTTAGATATTATTTGTCACTGATTGTTGGTTGTGGACGGGAATCGAACTGGGTCTTAGCTCAGAGGGCAACCGTTCCACCCCCACGCACCGCAACAGCCGCCATTCGCCACTGATTGATGGTGAAGTGTACCAGTCTGGGTGCACATTGAGGCTAAGTGAAGTGTCAGAGGCTTCCCGACAGGAGGTTACGAGACAGACCCAGGCGTGAATGTTTAACTGACTGACGAGGTCTATGTGCAAACAAAGACCCCCCGTACAGCCTCTAACAGGCTGTTGGGGGGCAAGTGCTGTTAGCAAGCACCTACAAGGCCAGAACAGGACACGAGGAGGTGGGTGGGCAGCATCACGCCCGACTACCTTTGTCTCCCCAGTGGCGATGCTTACCCACCGCACGAGCTACTCAATTGAAGCTGAGTTCACCCAGGGAGGACCAGGAGCAGTTCAGATAAATAATTAATCGTCACTGCGCGTCGGTGGTTTTGAGCGGGAATCTAACTCGAGTCGTGGGGCTCGTAGCGCAGCGCCACCGGTCCCACGTGCACACACAGACACACGCGCACACCCACGGGCACGCACGAACGTGTGCGTGCGTGCGTGCGTGGGGGAATGGAACTGGGCACCTTGAGCATCTCGGTCTCTTCGCGCAGGTTCTCGTGCCGCAGCTCGAGGCGAGAGAACTCCTTGACGAGCGACTGGTAGCGCGAGCGCTCCTCGTCCAGATCCCCCTGCAGCTGCCGCGTCTCGTCCGCCAGGCGCGCCTTCAGCTCATCTGCGACGGCACGGTGGGGGGGGGGACGTGTGACGTCGATTCGCAACATGGAGGGAAAAAGCGGAGGACCCAGAGAAAAATCCACGCGACCGCGGAGGGAACGAACATGCAAATTCCAAATATACAGGCGTCAGGGTCGGGATCGAATCCACGACCTCTTGTGTATCGGGCGAGGTCGTTAACATCTCGTCAACGTAGGGCACCATGCTGCTCGTGAGCAGCGTGACGCTCAGCACTGTCTCCTTGGAGAAGGAAGCCTGAATTTAATGAAAACAAATTTCCTTATGCTTTTTTTTATTGGCATAAGCATATGTACCTATTAGTAGCTAATGAGTAGCAGGCAAACCCTTTGAACGCAATTTTGATTATTATTATTATTATTCATTGTTCGATTTGGCTTGGGTAGGTCACAGTGCCCAGTACTCAAAGCCATCGATGATTAACATAGTCTCATTGTTTCATTCATTTGGGAGCACCGCATCGACAGATTTCTAAAGGGGCAGACCAGACTCGCACGGGGGTTCCACGCCACTCGCGCGCGGCTCAGCAGAGTCAAGAGCGAGCGCGCCATCAACACGCAGAGAGAGATGGACAAAACCTGCCGCGGCAAGAGACGCGCGGCACAGGCACAGCTGGGCCCGCGTGCAACAGAATGCGCAGCGTACACAAGGGTGAAGGTCAAAGTGCGAGGGTGACGGTCACGCGAGCAAGGGCAGCAAGGGCAGCTGGATTGCCGGACACGTGCAGCCCTTTTGTCAACGCGCTTCTGGACGAGGGCCTCGTGGGGGACCATTTGGCCAATGGGAGAGCGGCGCGGACGGGGTGGGGGCGGAGGCGGTGGGGGGGCGGCCCACCGTGCATCTCCTTGTCCTTGGCCTGGATGCGCAGGTTCAGCTCCTCCTTCTCGCTCTTGAGCAGCGCCGTCTGCTCCATGAGCTCAGCCACCACCTGCGAGACAGGGGACGGCGGCACCGACGACTCGAGGTCAACTCGAGGTCAACTCGAGGTCAACCCCTTGACGGATCCACCGCATGGTCGTCGCGCGCGGGGTGAACGGACGAACGGCGATCAAAACTCACGTTACACGAATTGCTGTCGGCTCGCGTCTCCCCATCATCCCTCTTGATTCATCCCATCCCTCCCCAGCTTAAGGGTTCAAAATCTCCAGAGCTCCCATCAAGCCTACAGACCGCACCCCCCCGCCCCCCCACCACCCGCCCCCCCCCCCCCCATTAGCTTTATACACTCCTCTCTCATCAATGTTGCAAACCCCACTGTGAGTTCTAATTAGGGCTGCGACAGAGAGTCTGTTAAGCTAACGTTCGAATTTTGTGGTCGTCGATTACTCGGGCCCTGTAAGAGCGGTGGCTGCCCAAACATTGTGGCTCCCAGAAGCGGGGATCCCTCCACCCCCCCTTCCCCCCGGGTCCCCCAGCATGACACGGCGGGGCGTTGATGTCGCCGAGGGCCCGCGCATCACCTCCCGTCCAGCGGCACGGCGAGCGCTAAAGCGAGACTTTTCTTTTTCAAACTATCTTCACGTTGTTTGACGGAATCAAAAAATCGGACTGATAGTCGGGTAGCAAGTGAGCGATTACTTAGCTACGTGGATAGCCCAGCTCGAGTTTCAACAAGTAAGGCATGAGCACGGTTGGCTACGTACGGTGCGAAAGAAGTTCAACGTGCATAAAATTTGTGCCACCCACGTTGGCTTCTCCTGCTGTGCCCCCAAACGCTCCCTGCGCACCGCTACCACCTTGCCGTGGCACCGCGCCTGACGGGTCGGTGCCGTCGCCCAGCGGTAGTGCGCTCGCCGCTCGTTGCAGAGGTTCACGGCGGCCGCCCTGGTTAGTGCTGCCGGTGTATTAACCGTCACAATAAAAAACAACACGCGCTTTTCTACGATCATCGCACACCCCCCCTGCTACGAACGCTTGGCAGGACCCTCGCGAAGCAGAGCCGCGAGACTCGGCGAGGCTTTTCCGGGAGTAAACGATCGTAGCGACGACAACAACAACAGCAGCAGCAGCAACACCGGCGGCAATAAAACAAACAACAACGACGACGACGGCGAGTCACCTTCTCGGTCTCCTGCTGGTACTTGCTCGCGTTCTCCTGCAGCGCACTCTTCTCGGCGAGCGCGCGCTCCAGCTGCGCCCGCAGCTGCTGCACCTCGTCGGCGAGCCCGGCGAGGCGCGTGCCTGAGCTGCGAGCCTCGTCGGCGCCGGCACGCAGCCGCTCCAGCTCGGAGCGCAGCCGCTCCGCCTCCTGGGCGTGCGCGTGCTCCGTGGCCGCCAGGCGCTCCTGCATCGCCCTGCTGTCCCGCGTCTGTTGTCGGGGACGGGGAGCGAACGAACCGGGGTGGTGGAACCGGTGGGCGAGATGTTAAACTACCTCGCCTGGTATGCGGGACGTCGTGGGTTCGATCCCGATCCCGACGCCTGTATACTTGAAGTTCGCGTCTCTTTCTCTCTCCCCGCGGTTGCGTGGATATTTTTCTGCGGGTTCCTCAGTTCTTTCCCTCCACATTTAGAATGGACGTCGCGCGCCTACGAGTATTTGGCTGCAATAAATTGTCCACGTGATGAAAAGCCGCTCCGTTGAGCTTTCATTTGTGGCCAGGTCGCTTCTGAAAAAAGAGCTACATAGCTCAGTGGGCCTTACCTGGTAAAAATAAAAAATAAAAAAATAGTTTTTAGTTTAGGGCTCGCTTCCAACGCGGCTTCTCGACAAACACAAAACGTGACAGACATTAAACGCGGGGGGTTGCAGGTCTCGCTCGCTCGCCCCACACGAGCAGGCCGGCCATGGCCATGGGTGTGCGCGCGTGCGTGCGTGCCCTCTCACCCACCTGCTCGTTGACCTTCATCTGCAGCTGCACGACCTTGTTCTCCATGCCCTTGTGCAGCGTCTTGTAGTGCTCCACCGAGCGCGCCTCGATGCGCAGCTGCTTGAGCTGGCGGCGTGCTCGCATGCGGCGCACGCAGCACTGCAGGTGCACGACGGCGTGCAGCTCGCGCTGCACCAGCCGCCGTGCCAGCCAGCCCCGCACGTGCTTCTGCAGCACCACCGCTTTGTGCCGGTACAGCATCTGAGCGGCACAAAGCGGGGGGGAAGGGAAGGGGGTGTGCGGGGGCAGACGGACGTCGCTCGCGAAACGTGCCGTTTGTGTTTTGGTGTTTTGCGATTAAACGCAGTCCGCAAGGTTGAGGGTTTCCCAGAGGCGGCACGGCCCCGCTGCACATTCTGCTCCACCACCCCGCCCCCCCCACCCTCCAACACTCTCATTTGTGGGCGATAGATAACAAGATAAAACATTTTTTTTTCCTTTCCGATAAATATTGCAATTGAGGGATGTCCTGGAACAAAAACTCCCACGAAAATCTTAGGGCGCACAAAGTCGGCTTTTGTTGAGAGCGGAGAAAAAATAAAAGGAGCGAATTGTTAAGTTCATTGTGTGACCGCCCGTTGTACCTCCCTAGTTTAAGACAGGGCCAAAGCTTACCACTGGCCATTCTCTTACCCTCCCCTCGTCCCTGCACTCCATCCCGTCCTTCCCCTACAGCCCTTACGTGACCCCCACGTGACCCCCACGTGACCCCCACGTGACCCCCACGTGTCCTCTGTCACGGCCACTCATTCCTCGGCCCTCGCCACCGAGATCTCTCGATTTTGGCCACTGCTTTTTAAACGACGCAAAGCGCCTTGGGGCAAGGCGCTCCATAAATATAAAATAAGACGAGATAAATGTCACCGCGTCTCTTAAAATTCATCTCGCGCCTTCCCCTCACCTGCTGGTATCGCTGCCGAGCGAATATCCCTCGCGCCCGGGCCTGCATGCGGATGGCGGTGCGGCGTATCTTGGCGTAGGCCCGGCGCACGCGGTACATGCGGTACGCCGTCTGGATGATGACGGCCGCCCGCGTACTCCGCATGAACTGGGCCAGCCTAGGGAGGGGGGGGGGCAGGGGGGGGGGTGCACAGAGCAGGCGCAGGTGACCTGGCCCGGCACACGGCACCACGCAGCAAACAGCAGGGCCACGACGCAACACGCGACAACTTGGATTTACGCGGCAGGTGAACGAGACTGTAAAGCCCATTTCTTTGGGAGCGCTTTGTGCGTGTTGGTTTGCTGTCCTTCCCACGCGCCTCCGATTCGCCGCGGCCGGCTACGTAACGGCGCGAAAGAAGTTCAACATACGTACATACGCACGTAAACGCGGGCGCATTTCGAGACGCTGTGTGGAAACATTGAGTCAATCACGGGCAGAGGAAAGAAGGGCGCTCTTGAGGCTGGAATTGTATTAGGGGCAGGGCGTGGACAGCAAAGATTTCTGGGCACAGCATAGGAGAAAGAGCGACCTCCCTCTGAGCAAAGGTTGACTGTAAGTTGTGACAGAATGCCTTGGCTTCGGGAACGGCAGGTGTGTGGGGAAGAGAGAGATGAGAGGGGAGAGGTAGGAGAGTGCGTGGAGGGGAGTCGAGTGAGAGGGGAGAGGTAGGAGAGTGTGTGGGGGGAGTAGAGTGAGATGAGAGGGGGTAGAGTGAGATGAGAAGGGAGAGGGGGTAGAGTGAGATGAGTGGGGAGAGGGGGTAGAGTGAGATGAGTGGAGAGAGAGGGTAGAGTGAGATGAGAGGGGAGAGGGGGTAGTGAGATGAGTGGGGAGAGGGAGTAGAGTGAGATGAGAGGGGAGAGAGTGAGATGAGAGGGGAGAGAGTGAGATGAGAGGGGAGAGGGAGTAGAGTGAGATGAGAGGGGGTAGAATGAGATGAGAGGGGAGAGGGGGTAGAGTGAGATGAGAGGGGGTAAAGTGAGATGAGAGGGGAGAGGGGGTAGAGTGAGATGAGAGGGGAGAGGGGGTAGAGTTAGATGAGAGGGGAGAGGGGGTAGAGTGAGATGAGAGGGGGTAGAGTGAGATGAGAGGGGAGAGGGGGTAGAGTGAGATGAGAGGGGAGAGGGGGTAGAGTGAGTTGAGAGGGGGTAGAGTGAGATGAGAGGGGGTAGAGTGAGATGAGAGGGGAGAGGGGGTAGAGTGAGATGAGAGGGGAGAGGGGGTAGAGTGAGATGAGAGGGGGTAGAGTGAGATGAGAGGGGAGAGGGGGTAGAGTGAGATGAGAGGGGAGAGGAGTAGAGTGAGATGAGTGGGGAGAGGGGGTAGAGTGAGATGAGAGGGGGTAGAGTGAGATGAGAGGGGAGAGGGGGTAGAGTGAGATGAGAGGGGAGAGGGGGTAGAGTGAGTTGAGAGGGGAGAGGGGGTAGAGTGAGATGAGAGGGGGTAGAGTGAGATGAGAGGGGAGAGGGGGTAGAGTGAGATGAGAGAGGGTAGAGTGAGATGAGAGGGGAGAGGGGGTAGAGTGAGATGAGTGGGGAGAGGGGGTAGAGTGAGATGAGAGGGGAGAGGGGGTAGAGTGAGATGAGAGGGGAGAGGGGGTAGAGTGAGATGAGAGGGGAGAGGGGGTAGAGTGAGATGAGAGGGGAGAGAGGGTAGAGTGAGATGAGAGGGGAGAGGGGGTAGAGTGAGATGAGAGGGGAGAGGGGGTAGAGTGAGATGAGAGGGGGTAGAGTGAGATGAGAGGGGAGAGGGGGTAGAGTGAGATGAGAGGGGAGAGGGGGTAGAGTGAGATGAGAGGGGGTAGAGTGAGATGAGAGGGGGTAGAGTGAGATGAGAGGGGAGAGGGAGTAGAGTGAGATGAGAGGGGAGAGGGGGTAGAGTGAGATGAGAGGGGGTAGAGTGAGATGAGAGGGGAGACCGGGTAGAGTGAGATGAGAGGGGAGAGGGGGTAGAGTGAGATGAGAGGGGAGAGGGGGTAGAGTGAGATGAGAGGGGAGAGGGGGTAGAGTGAGATGAGAGGGGAGAGGGGGTAGAGTGAGATGAGAGGGGGTAGAGTGAGATGAGAGGGGAGACCGGGTAGAGTGAGATGAGAGGGGAGAGGGGGTAGAGTGAGATGAGAGGGGAGAGGGGGTAGAGTGAGATGAGAGGGGAGAGGGGGTAGAGTGAGATGAGAGGGGAGAGGGGGTAGAGTGAGATGAGAGAGTTGTTCACGAGATTCACGCAAAACCGAGCAGTGTGCGCGGAACAGGCAGCACAACAGACACAGCATTACACGCGTGACACGCAACACCGCACAGAACATATTACAAGACGTATGCTGCCCAGAGAATGGCACAGAACGTGATACAGGACGTATGCTGCCCAGATAATGGTATGCAAATAATGACGCACAGAACGCGGAGCACGGAGAATATTGCATCATCATTAAGCGTGATTTATACCGCGTGATGTAACGATGCACAGCAAAGCATCGCACGCAGAACAGAGAGGAAGCTTGTTTGGATTGACCCGCAACATATCTTGCGGCGGCGAATGCGCGAGCTTAAGGTGACGATTTGTGTCTCTATCGCTCGGGCTGGTGCGAGCAGCGGCCGAGGAAACTGGAAAGCCGAGTTGTGCCAATTTTTGTTATTATTATATATTTTTGTGACACCACCAGGTAAGGCAACTTCGCGTGGATATTTACAGCAGCCACATCCTGTAAACGCTTGATGTTGATTCTAAATGTGATGGGGTGGGCGAACTGGAGGACCAGAAGAAAAATCCACGCGGCCACAGGGAGAGAGACACGCAAACTCCAAATATAGAGGTGTCAGGGTCGGGATCTAACCCATGACCTCCTGTATACCAGGCGAGGGAGTTAACATCTCCTCGCCACCGTGGCGCACATTCTCGGTAACGGCGTACGTCAGTGGCGAGTGGTTTCTGATCCGGTCCTGGGTACCCCCTTTGCCAAGCCATGCTCACCTGCTTGGTGAAATATGGTCAAACGACTTCCATAGGCATGGAGAAGCGATGATGAGGGTTATTATTACATTTTTTACGTAATATTTAGAGGATAAACAATTATAATACCATATAGATATTCAGCCGTTTGTTAATGCATTACCGGATGAAGTCCTTCCCACATGGTGCCGGTCACAGGGGTTGTTTGACCATACTTCACCGCAAGCGGTCAGTGTGGGAGTGTCCTCACCGAAAAGTGAAGCAGATTTATGCTGCTCGTCAACAGCAATACGTATACAGACAAGGCATGTGGCACACACACACCACCCCCCCCTTGTCGGTTTATATCGTTGGGCTCGAAATCTGTTCAATGCCTCTCCAACTTAACTGTACTAGGAACAGATTTAATTATTATTTGTCAGAGCCAAGTTTCGTCACAGGAAATGTATCTCTTCTTTAGTAGCGATTTAAGTTGGTGCCGTATTTCCGATGTCTCTCATTACAGGGTGGTGATTTTGCCAACTTCTAATTTGCTATTTTTTTTTGTTAGGTTTTGCTCCGATTTAAAATTGCTCCAATAGTTGTCGTTCATTTTTTTTAATTTGACTGGTTTTGTCATTGTGGCGACTCGGGTCACCTTGCAAATGAGACGCACCCTGGTCGCTTGTGTCCTCCCCTGGTGAAACAGATACATTTGAACTTGGAAGGGAGGGAGGGCGCGCAAGACAGGTTCAGATGTCACTCGGCCAATCACGCCAACCATGGCGGGGCGTCTTACGCAAGTCAACGGGTTCACGGGGCAGCACCGTGGGTGCCGGCGTCCCCTAATTATAGCCACAATTACTAAAAATACGAATTGAAATGGCTTCCTATTCTGGGCATGGGTGGCAATTGAGTGGGCATGTAACACTATCGATGTAATCTCCAGGACAAATTGGTAATTAAATCCTGAGATGTCAGCAGCTGAATCCCGTGCAAGCATCTTGGCAAGATAAATAAGTAAATGAAAATTTTTAAAAAGTAGCACTGAAGAGAGCAAGCCATAGAGGCAGGCCCACGCAGGGTAGGGTGGAATGTAGGTCGGACACCAAAGACGCAAGGTCGGCTTGGCATCACGGCAGAGACGAAGCGGCCGAACGTCACCAAGTCGCCTCTCCACAGCCACGCTCACAACCACAACCACAAACTCCGCCGGTTTCGCCTTTCTTAGGCATTAAAAAAGACAGCACGAGCGTTTATTGCTTTCTGCACTAACTTTCTTTTTGTTGTTGTTGTTGCTCCGTCAACGACTCTCGTGATTTAATCGAGTGAGAATCCACGGAGGTCATTTATTCACATTGAGAGGAAATGCTGCGATATGGCGTACGAAACTACAACACTGGCACACGCCAGTTCTACTCTGTTCAATGGTCACATTGTGCTCTTAACTGCACGCTGCACATGACATAGTGAACCCCAAGTGTTCTCCAGGGAGACAGCCTGAAACCCAGTGAGCCAGAACCAAACCCAACAAGGCAGAACCAAGCACTATTTTCAAACAAGGGGATATGGGATTCATTTGGAGGGGAGCTTCTTGCTGTCGGCGATTCCAACATCGTCGCCGTTATAAGCAAATAACACCGGCGGTGGAGGACAGTGGGATGAGAAGGGATGGGATGACGCTGGGGTGGGGAGACAAGGGATGGGTGGGTTGGAGTGCGGTACGAGTGAGCAGTGGGAGTGTGGATATCAGGCCAGGGCACTCCCAGCCGCGCTCAAAAATAGCACAATGTACGTGCGGTGTGGGGTTGCCTTGGGAGCAGTTAATCAACAGTCTGCCGCCGTGAAATCCACGCGTTCGCTCGGCAGGAGGATAAGACGGAGCTGCTGCTGCAGCCGCGGGACGAGCGTCGGGTGAACCCGAGGGGGCGAGGCCGCGGGCGCGCGAGTCGGACGTACCGGCGGGCCTGGTGGCCGCGCACGTGGCGCTGGATGGTGATGGCTGCCGCGCGCATGCGCAGGTAGCGCTTGCGCTGCAGCCACCCGCGGATCGTCTTCTGCATTTTGATGCAGGCCGCGCGCAGCTTGTCCGCGCGCAGCTTCTCTAGGTACGCCACCTGGCCCGCTCGGAAGAAGATCTTGGTTTTGCCAAACTGGAACTTGTCCGGGTCCTGGTTATTTTGGCGAGAAAGGAAAAAGGCAGCGTGGGCATTTTTCGCTTCCGAGCAATGACGTTTTTATCCACATGGGCCTTGTTTTTATACTCTCGTGTGTGAATAATTTGCACGTAAAGAAAAATTGCCGTTATGCGCCTCTTGATGGTAGAATCAAGAACGTATAATTACACTGCAGAGCACACGCGAGCATGTCATACACTTTTCCAACGCCGACGGAATATCTCGAGGGTAGACGCGTCCTCTCATGCGCGTGTTTTTCCCTCTTTCGCCCTCCACTCCGTCGTTAACCCTGACCACCAGCGACGAGTCCTGCCCAAGCTGATTCAACGATTCCCGCGTGAAATTTCAACCGTCACAGACAAGAAGGGGTAGGGGGACACGGCACCAGCACCGCACTCAGCGCGACGTTGCCGACTTTTGATTTGACGCGGACGTGCCAGCTTTGGCGAACGGGAGGCCGGGCCGGCCGCACGCACGACGGGCAGCAGGGCCGTGCGCCCCCACCTTGATGACGTGCTCCAGCACGTTCTGCACGGTCTGCTTCTTGTCGTCGCTCACGATGTCCTTCTTCCTCATGAGCACGCGGTAGCGGTTGAAGAACTCCTGGTAGGTCCACCTGCCGGGGGGGGAGGCGGGGTGGAGGCACGGAGAGCGTCGCTTGCCGAGCGTTCGGCGGTGCAGACCCCGAGCTACTCCGGCTCGGAGGACGCGGTGTCGGCACACGGTAACCACACCTCTCTCTTATGCAACTCGCTGTCCAACTAGAACTTGCCCTCATCATCATCAGCAGCTACGATCGATCCACTGCTAGATGAAGGCCTCCCTAAGCCGTCGGCATCCCTCTCGGTGCTGCGATGTTATCCTACGCCGTGTCGCTCGCTTTCAGATGCGCTTCCGCGGCCGTCTGGAACACTCTTCCTTCCGATATGAGGAAGCCACCGGGAGATATGCATTTTTAAATCATCTAGATTGAAAACTCATTTCTTTAGAACTGCTTTTTGTGGTTAGATTGTTGTCCTTCCCCCCCCCCCCCCCGCACCTCCGATTAGTGCGGTTGACTCCGCACGGTGCGAAAGAAGTGTCAACATGCACACACACACACGGGCTGATTTAATTTCTCCTCCCCGGGTGCGTCCCCTCCCTTGGCCACCACTCCGTCTGGATCACCGGCCAGCGACGTACCCTGCCCTAGCCCACTTACTTTTCCCACTTTGTCAAAATGACATCCGTAAACCTGAGTACGCTTGCGAATCCGTGTGTTCCTCGTTACGTCCTTTCGTGTAATTCCCAGCGCGCACCTCTCCGCCGTTATTAATTCACTCGTCAATGTCCACGTTTCTGACCCATGTATCACATCGCCTGTGGTACACCCGATCTAGAACAACGATTGCAAATAGAATGGAGTGCACTGACTGTAAAAACGTCACGGCCGAGTCACCTAAAAGGTTACCACTGCGTCATCTAGCGTCGTCTTCTTCCTATAGCAAACACAAATAAACCCCAAAACCTAGAATCGACCAAACATCCCAAAAGCAGGGGACGCCTCCTCTGATATTTGCTGACGTTTCATTGGGGAAACATTTCCAAAGTAACGTTTTTTTGGAATTGACAAAAAAATTCTGGACTTTGTCGATCCACTGCTGGACAAAGGCCCTCCCCACGCCACGTTGGGGCCCGTCTGACCTTCGCCGCGCCGATCAGCACAGGTTTGTGAACGTGGGACCCAGGACCGGTTCAGATATCCACTCGCCACCGCCATTAGCCGCGGTCGGGATTCCAATTGGGGTCACCAAGGTTCATTGCAAAGGCCGCCAATAACCACTGCTGCCCCTGTTAAGCCAACAATAATTCTGATGAAAACATGAACGAGCTTTTAGTCTTTCGGGCAGGAATACAGGCGGTGTTAAGTTGTTAAAAAGACCAATAAGACGGAATGAAAATATTTATTTATACTGGAGGAATCTGATGAGCTACAAAGCTCTTTTTCACAGACGTCCAGTAGACACCTATCACAGTGCGCCAAGTCTGCATTAACCACGCACGCTACGTGGTAAACACGTGCCAACATGTTTTACCAGAAGCATTTTGTGAAACTGGCAAAAAGGGTCCCCGTAGATCCAACAATAATTCTCGGGCATCTTTCTGCGCGTCTTGGACCCTCTCTTCCCCCTGCTGTGGAATGAACGGGCGGGCAAGGCCGCGGGTGGGCAAGGCCGCAGGCTGGCAAGGCCGCGGGTGGGCAAGGCCACGGGCGGGCAAGGCCGCGGGTGGGCAAGGCCACGGGCGGGCAAGGCCGCAGGCTGGCAAGGCCGCGGGTGGGCAAGGCCGCAGGCTGGCAAGGCCGCGGGTGGGCAAGGCCGCAGGCTGGCAAGGCCGCGGGTGGGCAAGGCCACGGGCGGGCAAGGCCGCGACGTCCGTGCCGTCGTCTCCGCCGTACCTGGATGGGTACCCGGCGGCGCTCAGTCGGATCGTCTCCAGGACCCCGCACGCTCTCAGCTGCTGCACGGCTCGCTTGGGGTCAAACCTGCGCGCGCGAGCACGCACGGACGGACGCACCGACGCAGCCACGGCAACGGTTAGGACCGGGAGAGACGCGAGTCGCACGCGGGTGATTTGGCCGTACTTCACCGTGCTGGGCACCGTTGGTCGCCCAAGGGTGGGCGAGCGTAGACGTGTAGGGTAGAGAAGTACTAAAGTGGATTTTTTTTAAATCTTTGTTTTTTTCGGTAAAGTCACGTGACTTTTTTTCGGTAAAGTCACGTGACTTTACCGAAAAAAAACAAAAAAAAACAACAAAGATTAATTCCTGCAGTCACGAAAGCACCAAATCGAGTTTGGATTTTTTTTAACTGCTGCCCTCTGCTGCCCTCTGCTGCCCGGGAACAAAGCATCATTCGCGAGAGTTAACGGCCAAACCCCAGACTCAAAAGACGCCGGTAACTCATTAAACACGTTACCTATCCGTGTGTATTCATCACAACTCTCGTGTCTTGCAGAGGACCGTATGATTCTAAATGTTTGCTGTGGTTTGCCACGACTGCTGCTGTGGCTGCTGCTGCAGCTGTGGTGCCGCTCGTGTTGCTGCTGCTGCAGCTGCTGCTACTGCTGCTACTGCTGCTGCAGCTGCTACTGCTGCTGCAGTTGCTACTGCTGCTGCAGCTGCTACTGCTGCAGATGCTGCTACTACTGCTATTGCTGCAGTAGCAGCAGCTGCAGCTGTGGTGCCGTTTGTGTCGTTGCTGCTGCAGGTGCTGCTACTGCTGCCGCTGCTGCTATAGCTGCTGTTACAGCTGCTGCTACATCTGCTGTTACAGCTGCTGCTACATCTGCTGTTACAGCTGCTGCTACAGCTGCAGATGCTGCTACTGCTGCAGCTACTGCTGCGGTAGCAGCAGCTGCGGTGCCGCTCATGTCGTTGCTGCGAGGTTCACGTGAAGGCCATCTTGTCATCGTTTGGCTTGATGCAGCGCACGTAGTGAGGAGTCGTGGCGTTCAGTGTCTCCATGAGCAGGTGCAGAGAATTCCGGAACTGGAAACAAAAGCAAAGAGCTGTCAGGGAAGAGCCTCACATCGCATCTCAACAATTTCCACTGCCCCTGAAGGAGACTTGCCAAGGGCACCCCCGGCGGCAGCTGTCCCTGTACAGTACAATTCGTACGCAGCACCGATGATTGCGATGGGGTTTTTACAAATTAAGTAATTTGTCACCAACTGATCAGATTTGGCAAATTTGGACCACGACGCCGGCACACTTTTTCTACTTCTCGTGGCAACGTGGGAACGCGCCTTGCAGAAAGGAAAAGTTGCCGGTGGCGTTTGGAGTGGGAGTCGTTACACGAGAAGCAACACTATTCTACTATAAGCCAAGAGCGCACCCCCCCCAAAACTGTTTATTACTTTCCTGGACGTCCCTTCGTGTCCCCGTCAAGCCCCTTTTGTGCGAATCTCTAAAGTGGCCGTGACAGCGACTCTGGCAAATGTTATTAAAATAAACCCTAAGGAGGGGGGAATCCCTCGTGCCCCCGCCAGCGGAGGCCCTGCCACCAGAAGTGGCGTGAGTAACATTTGCAAGGCTGCAGCAAAACAAAACAAATGATGATGAGCCCCAACAGGATACCGGAAGCAAGGAGGAGGAGTAGAGACGCAGACCCGGCAAGAAGCAGCGCAGAACGGAACAGGACTTGGGAGGCAGCGACGCATCGACGAGGTCAGAGCAGGAGCCAGAAGTGCCCCAGCCGGTCGCAAAAACCGAGGCACCGACGACGACCGGAGGCTCGGATTTCGCGGTCGCCCAGCACGGGACCCGTGGGCCCAAAGTGCCCAGCGGGCGGCAACAAACGGCGCCGTCGGGGGTGCAACGGCCGAGGGCGAGTACGTGGGAGGGGCGGCGGGCCTCACCTGCAGGCCGACGCTGCGCTTGTGCTCGCGGCTCGAGCCCTTGGCCCCCGGGCGAGCGGAGCGCACGCTGTGCGAGGGCGGGGGCGCCCGGCTCCCCGAGCCCGCCCTCCCACGCGCCGGCGCCGCGGTCGTCGCCGCGCCGGCTCCGTCCTTGCCCTCGTCCTGGAAGAGCTCCGCCACCAGCTCAAACTGGCGGGGGGGGGGGGCAAGGGCGGGGAGGAACCCAACGCGCGTCACACGCGGCCGGCACTGGCGTCCGCACGCGCGCGTCTCTGTGGGGTAGCGGCAGCGCCGCGGTTGGCGCGCTGCGCTACCGGACGACCCGAGCTCGATCCCCGCCCGTGGCTGACGTGTCGGCATACGCGTGCGACGTTGCACAGCTTCGCAGCTTTGGCCTTATCGCATTGACGCAGACAACAGACTGTCGGGGCAAGTGTTGTTGTCGAGCACCTATTAAGGCCGGCACGGCGCACGAGGGGGTGGGAGGCCAAGACCACGCTCGCCCGGCCGCCTTTGTCTCCCCAGTGGCGATGTTTCCACACCCTGCCAGGTACTCATTGGAGACTGAGTCGACCTAGGAGAGGCCCAGGACCGGTTCAGATTATCGTCAATGGTGTTGGTGGTCATGAGCGGGAATCGAACTCGGGTCGCCGGGATCGTAGCGCAGCGTACTGAACCACCGCTCTATCGCTCCCCACTCACAACTTTGATTTGCACGGTTGGCTGTGCATGGTGCAAAAGAAGTTCAACATCACACATACATACTCCATGATACGCACACGTTCTCAAACACACTCGCACACAAACACCGCCCAACAGATTCGGTCGACGAGCAGTGACCGTACACTCATGCGGGTTAGTGAACACATTGCGCAGACGCCAATGTGCGCTGCTGTACAGAGAGAGTGTCTGGGGCTCGGGCAATAAGATCCAAAGCAACCAGGAGACCATGCAACGTGAACCAGACATGCAGCGCCCGTGGCACAGACACTGAAAGCCCTGTCAGTGGCAGACAGCTCGTCAAGATGAAGAACCACCACGCGGGACAGCCACGTTCTCGGCTGCTTCGTCCCCCCCTCCACCAACGTCTCATAACAGATGCCCATCTCCATTCGCCACGCACCGCTATAACCTTGCACCCGTTATTCCAATAGGGATGAATGGCATTGTTAAATGAACATTTTGTATTTTCCCCTCAACGCCAATTCGAGCAAAGTCGTGCCAACGAGGCAGTTCCACGAGGCCATGTTCGCCCGCCGGTGAGTGAGCTCGCGACCAGAAGCGGAAGGTCGATTCCTTTGAGAGTCCGCTAACTTCCTTGGTGATCTTAGAACAAATATAGCCAACAGCAGCAGAGGCGAAAAAATATACGGACAACGTGGCATCATCTTCTGCAGGAAAAGGCCACATTGTGAAATCCCAATTTTATGTTTGCATTAACGAACACCACACACCCTCCGTAAATACTGTCCCTATTCGCTGTAATAAATGGTAGAAACTACAATTTCAACGTACTTTCTCTTTTTTTAATCTTTCTCGCCAAAGCAAAAGCAAATAGGACGTGAATTTCAGTGGCATATCAAAGGCAGTTATCTTTCTCTGGAACCTGGCACAGACCAACAAGGGGCAAACATACCTCGAAGAACAGCCACATTCACAACGTCCCATGAGATTCGGTTGTACCTAAGAGGTCCACTTAGAGACCCACTTAGGACCAAGCACAATTCGGTTGGTCCACAAAGGACCAACCGGTTGGTGCGGCACTTCTGGACGACTCACCCATCATATTCTACTCCGCGCGCATTGGTTCACGGTAATTTTTTTCCAACGTACACATCTCAACGCTTTTTGGGATATGCTAACGACAAAGAGCGAAAGACCTTGCAAATGGTGATATCACAGGATTCTTTTGAGATCTATTGCACAGCACAGGCTGAAATTGGGTTAATTACCCACGGAAATTACCAGGTGCAAAGCCCATGTAAAATGTCTCGGCAATGAAAAGCACACCGACCACACACACACACACGTGCTTGTCGCGCCAACCACCCGTGGAAAGCTGAGAAATATCCAAGCGCTCGCACCGACCCAACTTAAAGCACTCGCACCACCTGCATGAAGTGTTAGTAGGGTAGCGGCATCGGTCGAAGGTTTAGTACGCAGCAGGGGGTGAACGACAAAACGCCTCCATGGACCGGCATAGTCCCCCTTCTCATTCCAAGCAACACCCTTCACACGGAGCTGTGACCTAATCACGACACCGTGGCTGCTATCACGGAGGTGAAGATACTATCGTGAGCACAGTCATCGTTACTGAACGGGCGTTCGTCCCACCCACGCAGCCTTGCCAAATTCGGCACAAGCTCCTACATCCAGCTCACTGGCTATCACCGACCACCGCGCTGCAACTGTCGGGGTAACGTTGGAGGCGCATTCTGCCTTGGGGCCGTGAAACAAAACCGGAATGCTCGCCCGCGAAGGGGGCACGAGATTCACCTAACTCAAGAGTTAATACCGAGTGACCAAGTGGCTCATCATCGTGTGGAAATTTATAGCAGGCAAATACTCGAAACGTGGGGGGAAAAACCGGAGGACTCGGAGAAAAATCCACACGACCATGGGGAGGACGGGCAAACCCTTAACATACAGGTGTCAGGGTCGGGATCGAACCCATGACATCCTGTATACCAGGCAAGGTAGTTAACATCTCGCCACCATTGCACCCCATTTTGCCACCAACACGAGGCCGCTCGTGTACTTAATAATTCTCAAAACAAAAACCAAACCGAGTTCTGAAACTCTTCGGGAGCCAACGTAAGACACCGTGCTGAGCAGCGCACGCGGCACGACCTGCGAACAACTTCGCAGAGCTGGTTCACACTGACGAGAAGGGCGGCGGCGATGGCGGCGCTTGTTTAAATGTGAAATGAAACACCGCAAGCAGAGAGACGAGGCGGTCTTGGACATGCAAATCGAGGAGGTACGCAGAAGCTCAGCGGCAGGCAGCGGGGGCAGCGCGGTGGGGGCACACGTGCGTGCCGACGAGCGGTGCCGGTTACCTTCTGTGGAATTTCGCCGCCGCCGGGGGGGGGGGGGTGCCCGTCGGGTGGAGACACGGAGGACGGGACACAAACGCAAGCGTGAGAAGAGAAGAGTCACAAAAGCAGACTACTGATTGGTCGGCGCCAGCGGTGATTGGCTGGTGCGGAGGAGGGCAACCCCCACCTCGCTGAGAGAGGGCAGGGAGGAAAGTTCACGCCGAGGGATTTTGTTTTCTGCAACAAAACGGGCACTTTTTTTTTTGGTCAGGTATAAAACGTCTCAGAGGTTGTTGTTATTTTTCTTTTCTTTCAAATCTCTACGTGGAAATATCTGGCCGAGCAGCACTGTGGCAGGGGATTCTGTTTGTGACTGCAAGGGGGGGTGGAGGGCAAAATAAAATCCCAGTCTGGGGTCAGCTCAGTCCGCAACCTTCCGAGATGATATGGGCTACTCTGTATAAATGTAATATCACTTCTAACGATAAATGGCTCCAGACCATCTGCTGTTGGAGGCCCACGAACTGCTCCAACCTCTCCTGAGCAAGGGGAAAACCACACATTAACGTCTAAGATCCACCTGTTTAAGCCAAGAGCCTGTTGGAGTGTTAGCAAGGTCCTATCGTGGCTATCGCGCCTTTCACTTACAAGCGAATGCTTTGACCAGAACCAAACGTGGTTTGGTTGCCCGTCTCGCCAAATGGGGACACACTCCCGCCACAATCGGCACTCGTTACAGGCTCAGCGCTGGTTTGGCCAGATTTGGATATCGATGGCCACAACATCTACATACCAAACAGTAACGCACGTATGTAGGAGGGGTACATTTATGCGCCAACCTGCACACGTTATTTCTAGCGGACGGGGATTCTCATGGACTGGGGGAGGAGGCCAGAAAGTTGGCTGGGCTAGGGCCGTGCCTGCTCAGGGCTACGGTCACGAGTGCCTCCTCACAACGCACGTCCTCCGCGCCGGCCGTACCTGGCTGGCCTTGAGGATGTTGATCTGCTCCTCGTAGACCGTGTCCCGGTTCTTCTCGAGGAAGCCGTCGCACTGGTACTCCACCTGGGCAGGGTGGCACAACCCATGCGGCACCGGCACACGCGGCACTCATCGGATGAAAACGCACAGAACCGTTCACTTGAACATATATACAAAAACATTTTCATAAACAAAATGTAATTAAAAACTATTTTTATTTCACCAGGAAAGGTCCACTCAGCTATGAAGCTCTTTTTCAAAAGCGACCTGGCGGTCACAAATGATTGCTCAACAAAGTGGCGTGCCACGTGGACATTTGTAGCAGCCAAATGCTCGAAACACGTGATGTCGATTCTAAATGTGGAGAGAAAAAAACGGAGGACCCCGAGAAAAACCGACGCGGCCATGGGGAGAGAGAAACACGCACACGCTCAAAATATAGCATAGGCATCAGGGTCAGGATCGAACCCACAACCTCCTGTTTCCTATAATGTAGCAGGGACTGCTCATATCTTGATATAACGTACTTTAAAAGTATATTTTTAGTTGTGTAAATTTGTAATCACTTTTGGGATTATTGTGGGTGCTTGGCTTTCTCACACATCGGCACTACCATCGCTACCCTGCTAGCTTTGTGAGCTAGCCACGGCACAGTCACCGATCTGCAGCTCTGCTGCACAGTTCCCACAGCCCCCTCTCCGGGGCCCTGGGCGAGCCTCGTTGCGCAAGTCGCTCACCTTGTCGGCGAAGTGGCAGATGATGAAGGCCACGTTGGACATGCGAGGCTTGAGGAAGTGCTTGCCACGCCCGAGGTGCTTCTCGTACAGCTTCTGTGCCCAGCTCTGGTCGGAGCCCTTGGGCATCTGCGTTGGGAATCGCAACAGCAGGACGTCGTTAAACGACGGGGGAAAGAAAAAGTGCACAACAACAACAACAATACCCGGCGTTCGCCACGAAGCAGCGGTGACGTCGCCACGGCGTTTGTGCCAGGCGAAGTGAACTTTGAGGTCACGTGAAGTGTCGAAGGCCCGCTGGCCGGAGGTCACGGGACAGACCCAGCTTGACCGAGGAAGCGCTGGCAGATGCGCCACTTGCGCCCCCTACTGTGCCAACTTGCTGCGTTTTGGCCACCAGCCACTCCGCTCATTGTTGTGAGCATCCCTCCTCCGCCCCCTGTCGCTGCCGGATGGCAAATGCCCCAAAACTCCCCGTGCACCCTTCACGAACCGCCTCCACTGAGGCCGATCTTGACACCGCAAATACCGGTCATCGGCGACACACGCACACACACGTGTCAGAATCACGACGGCAAACGAACGTGACAATGACGACGACGACGACTCCCTCACCTTGCACTCTTCGTCCAGCAGGTCGAGAACGCCCAGCTTGGCCTCGATGAGGTCGATGCACGGCTGGTTGTCGTAGAAGTCGATGAGCGTCCAGGGGATCTCCTCCCGCATGTACTCCTCCTGCTCCAGCTTGAAGACGTGCTGTCAAGTCGCAAAAACCACGGACGCGCGTACTCACGCGCGTGCGTCCGGCTGTTGACCGCCCCGGCAAGTAAGGATGCGGAGAGCGTGCCGACAGATGTTTCAGCACGAACGCTCGCGGTGCCGCGCGTCACCTCGCCGAAAGCGAACCGTCAGCGCGGCAGGGAGATTTATTTCCTCCCGTGAAATCCCCGTGCCAAGCGACCGGGCCGGCGCTTTGATCTTAGTCTCCGTGTGGCACACTTACCAGGTTGAACTGCTGCTGGAGCTTTTCATTGGCGTAGTTGATACAGAACTGTTCGAAGCTATTGATTTCAAACGTCTCGAACCTGTTCGGAGGAACAGACACGGAACCGGAAGAGTTCACGACGATTACAACATCGTTCCTCGCCTCGTCGACATTAAAGGCCTGCCAGCGAGAAACGACTTTCCCAAGATCTATGGCTTGATGCAGCCCATCCATCTCCTACCACGTGGGCATCAAAGAGTCCCTGCGTCAATCCACTGTTGGACGAGGCCCTCCAAAAAATCGCAACCCCAGCCAAGCTGTAATGAGGCCCAGTTAAACACGACGACATTGGGGAAACTACACACAGCATCAGGCGCTCATTTGAGGCTGAGTCAACCTAGGGGAGGCCCAGGACCGGTTCAGATAATCGTCACCGGTGTTGGCCGTGAGCGGGAATCGAACCTGGATCACCAGGTTCTCAGCGCAGCGCGCTAACCACTACGCTACCGCTCCCACACACACACACGCACACACACGCACACACGCGCACACACGCACACGCTCACACAGGCGCACACACACACACACACACGCACACACGCGCACACGCACACACGCTCACACAGGCGCACACACACACACGCACACACACGCGCACACACACACACACGTGCACACGCTCACACGCGCACACGTCTCTCCACCGGGGGGGGAGGGGCCCGGCATCCTGCACCCGTAGATGTCGAGCACGCCGATGAAGGAGTGCTGCTTGGTGGAGGAGCGCAGCGCCTTGTTGATGCGGTGCACGATCCAGGAGAAGAGCTGTGCGTAAACGTGCTTAGCGAGTGCGTCGCGAGCGTTCTGGGCCTGCGTGCGCCCCATGGGCTTCACGTAGGTCTCGGCGCCCGTCGAGATCTTGCGGTGGCACAGCCAGTGCGCCATCTGGTCCCTCTCAAGCCCCAGCAGCTCGCAGAAGATGTTCAGGTGCTTGTCTTCCTTCTGCACGGCGAGACCGCCGGTGGGTGGGGTGGGGGGGAGATACGAATACAGCGGTGTAGTGCGGTGTATCATAGTGTAGTGTAGCGTATACACACTACACCACTGTATGTATGTACGTTGATCTTATTTCGCACCGTACATAGTCAACTGCGCTAATCGGAGGTGCGGGGGAAGGACAGCAAGCTAAACACAAAAAGCAGAGTTTTCAATCTTTTCCCCGCACCTCCGACTCACACAGTCGGCTACTACGGTGCGAAAGATGTTCAACATACATATACCAAACACAAAAAGCAGTTCTAAAGAAATGAGTTCTAAAGAAATTAGTTTTGAATCGTGCGATCACGGCTACTCCAGCCACCTGTTTCATTTCTAAGGATTACAATAACTATAATTATAATGCTTTATAATCCTTCCCCCGTACCTCCGATTAAGTACAGTTGGCTACTTGTGGTGCGTATGTGTGTGTATGCATGTCCGTGTGCGGTGTGTGTGTGTGTGTGCGCATGTGTGCGGGTGCATGCGTGTGTGCGTTTGTGCGTGCGTGTGCGTGCGTACGTGTGTGTGCGTGCGTGTGTGCGGGCGTGTGTGTACGTGCGTATGTGTGTGCATATGTGTGTGCGCACGTGTGCAAATGGGTACAGCGCCGTTAGTGGAGCGGCAGGTTGGACGTGTGTTGGGGTAAAGTGTGGGTATACCCACCTCTTCTAAAGCGTCCGGCCAGCATGGAAGAGTAGACCAAATACATGGGCCTCCTACTGGAGTGATCTTCAGAGAGCTCTATAGAGAGCTCCCTCTAGCAGAGGCCCCAGTGAGAACTCAATTACAGGGCTGCACCTTTATTAATTTGCTGTACACGAGTCTGGTTGCAGTGTGAGCCTACGGCGCGCGCCCCGCAAGCGACTCACGTTGACGAAGCAGGTCTCCTGCTCGCGGTCCTGCGACTGCACCTCCACGTTGCCCAGGTGAAGGATGCCGGCTATGATCTTAAATATCCCCATCTGATAGCTCGCACCGATACCTGCGGGAGGCACACGGAGGCGGAGGGGGGGGACGGGGAGCGCGTGCGGTCACGCCCCGCACAATGAAGCTTTTGCCCATGTAGCAGAATCTTTAAGCATGTTGCAATGGGCACTCTTATTTTCGCCACAGCAATATTGTAAATCGGTACGCGCGAATATTTGCGATCACAGAACGCGCGCGTCGACCCGGGGCATCAAGCGGCCCTCGCGGTAACTTTAGCGGCGCGAGCGCTCCGAGAGGCGGCGTCACGACTCAGCCGTGCGGCCCCGCGACCCACCCAGCAGCGTGAAGGCTCGCCGAGTGCGCTCCAGATCCTCGCCATCGTCCACGTCCTCGATGACCGCGTTGCCGCCCTGCGCCGTGTAAACGAACGCCTCCGCCGGTTCTGCGCGGGGAGCGGGAGGAAGAGGGCGTCACGCGGGGACCGCTCACGCAAGCGCCAGCAGGCGGTCGTGCAACACCCCTCGCTCCCGTGGGGCTCTCCAGCAACGGGCCGACACCGGGCAGGCAAAGTATTCATATTGTCACTAGCACAGCAACGAGTTAAAAATGGAGCGAGCGTGCCGTGAGCGTGGGGGCATCGGAGGGGCCCGGCTGGCCGGCTCACCCAGGTGGAGGTCCTTGAACTCGGGCAGCTCGGCGCTGGCGCAGAGCTGGTAGAACACGTGGTAGTTCCGCTCCTCCTCCGCCTGCCCTCGGCATCACAGCACACACACACACAGGCACGCACGGACGCAGCACACACGCACGGACATACAGCATACGCGCACGGACGCAGCACGCACGTACGGACAACACGTACGGTGCGAAAGAAGTTCAACGTACATAGCGCACACACGCACGTGGATTTTGTTCTGATTTTCAAACATTCTGTCCTCATCCCCAACACGTAGTAAAGGTTGCGGCTATCCAACTAGTGTGCGGGCAGGCGGGCGGGCGGGCAGAGAGCACAGGCGCCCACTCGCCTCACCTGGAAGACGACGCGGGACTTCTCCAGGAGGTACGTGCGCATGTTGGCGCCGACGATGAGGTACTGCCGGTTGAAGCCGATCTCGATGTACTTTCCGAAGCGGCTGCTGTTGTCGTTGCGGGTCGTCTTGGCGTTGCCGATGGCCTGGGCAAGGAGACGGAGAGATCGTGCACGTGCGTGTGCGTGCGTGCGTGCGTGTGTGTGCGTGCGTGTGACCGACGCGCACACGGCTGTGCGGCGAGGTTGCCGCGGGGGACGGATCGGTACGTCGGAGGACTTCTTTCGCACCGTACGTAGTCAACAATGCAAATCAGAGGTGCGGGGGAAGAAATTAGTTTGTCAATCTCGATGATGATTTAAAAGTGCGTAGATCCAGCGGCTTCCATAATATCGGAAGAGCGTTCCAGACGGCTGCAGAAGCGCATCTGAAAGCTCGCGATGCGGTGTCCGTCTTTGTTCGAGGACTAGTGTAACGCCGCCGCGAGGATGACCGGACTTCGTGCGATGGTTTATGACGAGATCAGCGAGGCATTGTGGTTCATTTGTAGCCTGCACTTTTAGTGTGCGATGAGTATGATGGTGATGTGATATCGCTTCCCTTCATGCGTTTTTGGGCCCGCTTTCAAAAGTGAATCTGAAGTGGAAAAAAACAAATCTTCACTCTTCGTATTAATGATAAAAGCTAATGGCTCGCAACAAAAAAAACATGTCCTCGTATCGGTCTTATCGCATGCGCACAGCAAATTATTTGTGAGGGAACCAATGGTGAAGGGGTGGGGGGGGGGGGGAGCCCACGACTGAATCAGATGTCACTCGCACCACTGATGTTCACAGCGGCCGGAAATCTGACTGAGGCTGCTGGGTTCGTAGTGCGGTGCGCTAACAGCTCCGCCACCGCCTCCCCCCACCACCCACCCACGTCCACCACCCGCATACTTCGGGGCTGCACTGGGAGGGGATGATTTTTTTTCTCAATGAGGAAAACTCCTCGTGCTCATTGTTGTTGCACCGGCCGATCATCAAACTCCAAAGTCATCTTAGCTTATAAAAAAAATTGACACGAACATTCGGTGTCGCTGCTGTCGGAGCCACGGCGTGATGCCAAGAAACTTCCTCCAGCACACCCACACACACGAGAGAGGAGCGGTCGTGCCACCTTAGCAAATTAATGTGGACAATTATGTTTCTGTCCAACACTCAGCTTCTCAACATCAAACGGCGCTTCCTCGACACCGTGCATCGAGCGCTGTGCTCATTTTCTCGAGGGGATTAATCACAAAAATTATCATTTCAAATGTACGACGTTGCCTTGAATTAAAAATTGGTCGAGAAATAGAAATGCACCAGTCAACGATGAGAAAGCCGAGAACCTTCGGGGAGGAAGCTTTCATCTCACGAGTTCCCCTGGGACTTTGAATTCAGGTGCTCGGCAGGACTGGCTGAATAAAGACAGCCATGCCGCTGCAACGTCGCAATGCATCACTTAGAATTATCTAGCCGCTCACACGTGACCAGAGGAATGGAATGAAAGCTACATGTGCAAATGTGGCTCCAAATCCACAAACGCCACTATGCTGCGACTTCAGGGCGGTTTTTGGAGGCAATTTCAATATACGTTAGTTGTAAATTAAGTCCTAGTGCTTTTCAAGTTATATTTCAACATTAAGGCTCATGGATGTTTGAGTGATAGGCCGACAGACTTGGGAAGAGAGCCAGACTGGGGGTCAGCAACCAAATGTCATTATTGACGGGGAATCACGGCCAGGAATCGAACCTGATCCCGCAGCCATCGAATCAAACAGCAAGCAATGACCACCGTAACTTTGCAAGCAAAACACTGCCAGTGTGATTTAAAGCTTTCGTGACTGCAGGGATTCATATTATTAATAAAAATATAAAACAATACATTTTATTGTTTCATATTTTCACTATTTTATTGTTTCCCTTCTACGTGACTTTACTGAAAGAACCAAGAATATAATATACTGCCAGTGTGGTTCATTTCCTGCCAACTCTATCGCGCCGACAGGTACAAGGAGGAGATGGGAGAGAAGCGGCGTTCACATGAACAGCCAGGGTGGGCCTCCACTATGTGACCTGCGTGCCCTCATGCCCTCTTCTACCCCTCCCACAACACAACTTTTGGCCTAGTGCTCGAACTGGTTTGTGGCGCAACATGAAAAAAAAATCAATCCTAATTATATCCCGTTCGTGCTGCCAGCTTCGTGTCATGCAACAAAAGCGCCCGTCCAGGTATCTCGCAGAGCTGTATAAACCTTTGTCGTGCTTGACAAGTCCCCACGGATGGAAGTGTATATAATAGAACTACTTCTTGGATCCCTCTGAATGAGCCCTATGTTCAACGCACAGCAGGGGGCAGCACTTCCTCAAACCGGGGGGAAAGGGATTGCAGGAATGTGTGCGCGACCGATCAGCGCGATGGCGACGAGGAAGCATGTCAGAGCGGTCGGGCGATCCGATCCGGTGGTCGTAGGAATGAGGCGTGAGGGGCGGAAGTGCATGCGGCCCTCCCTCACCTCCATGATGGGGTTGGAGGCCAGCACCTTCTCCTCGATGTTGGCCTCGCTGGCCGAGCCCCCGACCGTGGCGAAGTATCGCATCGCGTACTTGGCCGATACCGTCTTGCCGGCGCCCGACTCCCCGCTCACGATGATCGACTGATTCTTCTCATCCCTGGCGACGCGCGACGGGGCAAACCGGGATGGCCGTTACCTCGACGGTTACCTCCATGGAACAGCGAGAGACCCCACTCTGGACAGAGATGATGCTGCAGTTTGTTTTTATGTTATGAATGGAAGATAACCATCAAGTCCAGAGTGGTGTCCATGCTCAACTGAACATTAGGCCGTACTGTCTCTTCTGGCCCTCATGAGCAATGAGCCAACATTCCACCTTCATGCGCTGGGTACCAACTTATCCGAAGAAAAAAAACGCAGTTGGCCGTCCAAACAACGTTACAAAAAATATTCTCTGCTACATGCTACTTGGCCAGAAATTAAATGTGTAACCTTCCGATTGTGCTCTCGTGAGCTCTGACATGCCACTTAGACACACGACATAGGAAACTATAAACATTTACTTCACCGATTACTTGATAATGTTAAGCTGGGACAATAAAAAACAAGTTGCATTGAGATATTAAAAAAAACTGATGCCAATTAGTTAAACAGCACTGGTTATTGTTCTGTGCGTCTCTGCCGGGCTGTGTAATGCGGCGGCTTGAACCACTGATATCTGTAAATGGCAGCATTGGGCAGCGCATTCGCCGCTCTTTGCAGAGGATCACGCTTTGAATCCGGCGGCCGCGCTGGTTATCAACGGGGGTGGAATAACCACACCGAAACCACTACGCGCCATCCACTTCGTAGTGGACGTTAGAGATCCCCGGACGTCATTCCACAAGGCTAGGCCGTTGCGTGCCGGCTGGCGTCAGGGTACAAATAAAAATTTTAAAATGACACCGCAAGTTACTCAATTGGCATTATAGAGAACACATAGAGCAGCACTTTTTACGTTGAATTTTTTATGTTCCTAGGGTAAGGCCCACTGAGCTATAGAGCTCTTTTTTTCAGAAGCGCCCTGGCCATCACAAATGATTGATCAATGAAGTGGCCTTATCATCACGTGGAAATTTACAGCAGTCAAATACTCGAAACGCGTGATGTCGATTCTTAAATGTGGAGGGAAAAAAAACATCATCGCTCCCTCCTGGCGGACAAATGTCCCCACAGGGTATTGCTCGCCAATGAGACCGTCCTGATCGCTTGCGTTCCCACCCGGTGAAACAAATTCATGTTGAAACTTGGAAAGGCGAGCCCAGCTGTGCCTCCCACTGCCACACAACTTCCAGCAGGTGGCCCGTGACAAATGCAAAGCGACGGCGCTTTTAAAATGCCCAAGGAACAAATCTAGTTTGACCGCAGACCGTCTGAGACGTAAAAAGCCACCGCATTTGCAAAGGACGCACAATTGTTCCCAGTTCGTGAAGTGTCATGGATGAATAAATATCCTTTCAAACTTCATGCATCGGGGTGGCAAGGGTTTAACTCTGGTATGAGCAAACCATACAAACGTATGGTTTGCTCATACGGCACGGCCTTAGTTAAATGCTCTTGACGAAAACAAACCTAGACCAATGCAAGTCCCGATACTGAAAGGCATCCCGATGTGGCAGCTCTGAATTAGAATAAGACCAAACGAATTACCAGGGTTACTATGAGGGCTATCGTGCTCTCATAAAACTCCCAGAGTGCTGTGAAGTTCTACAGGTCTCCATCCTCGGCTCAGTGCCCCGTGGCACAAAACTCTACGTAATAATAATAATCATAATTTGGTATTGCACCGATGTATATGGAGTCAGATGGGGCTACAATAATTGTTTTGTTTTTTAAAGTAAAAAAGCACAGAATAACGCACAACTTGTTTCATACCAATTTGTAGAATAACTTGGCACACGCTACCTTTGACCTCTCTCTCGTCAACAACCGGAACGTAATCCACGAGCTGCGTGCGCTCTGAAGACTCTGAAGGGCCCTGCGGACCACTGGGAGTGGGGCTGGGCTGCGCCCCGCGCTCGCTGCGCCACCCGGCATGCGGGCATCAGCCTTCAGCCGCTCATCGCCAAGACAGCGACGGTGCAGATCGTCGTTCCGTTCAGCGGACCACAAATTCATCTTTCTCAGCAGGTGAGGGGTGGGGGGGAACTCAACCGAGCCGGCTCACCCCCAGCCGCCGGAAAACGCAACGCTGATGCCCGTCGGTGAGACTCTGAGTCTACCGCCCGCTGGCACCGCCAGTGAACCTGCCTTGCTCGGTGCGTACAACCATCCCGGGAGAGAAGAAACGCGGCAGCGGAGACTGAGGGCGACGCGGTAAAGCTCCGCAACGGACGCCGCTCTCAGCAATGCAGATGATCATCTACCCTTGATTAAAAACTAAAATGTCACGGGTAAATCCCCGTAGTAATGCGTCGAAAGTCGCCCGCTCGTCGCAACACGACGCATTCCACGTGATCGATCTCAGCCAAGATGTGCTCACGAAATCTCCGACGGCTCAGCCTCAGTGCCTGCCTTTCCTTTGTTGATGTGTTCATTTTGTAAACGACAATAAAAGCAAAAAACTCGACGTTAAAACAAAGCGTCAAATTCCTGCGCACGATGTCGGAGATGAATCGCATTGAACGCTGTCGTGTGTGTGGGAATGAATGAGGTTTTGGTAGGATTGAAAAAAAGTGGCATTTAGACAACATACTATCATCGCTATTATTGTTCTGACAAACGCCGAACAAAAATACTTCTGACCAAAGTGTCGATAATTAGTGAAATGCCACGCGCGAGGATTTTCCGCACTGAAGTGCGTCGCTGTTGAGCAACATAATTCACAAGTGCCACTGGAACACAACTATAATTATCTCAACGTGGCAGATAACAGGAAGGGCTGATGCACGGATAATGGGAAGACTATTGCACTTGTCCCCGTCTCCCATTCCTCTCATCCGCACAATCGCCGATAACTGGAGGAGCTCGTCTGCGGTAAAAGGGGAAGATTCGTATATCGGCCTGACCGAACGGATGATGATGGCAACTGTGGAAATGAGAATCACGGATAAGAGGGATTGAACTCTAGTATAACACAATGCAGTCCCGGCACCATTACCATGTACCGCGCAACGAGGCGTACCATTGTATCGCAAGCCGTTGTTACCATGGTGATGTCAACCCCCAAGCCAACCCCACCTCCCCCTCCCCTACCCTCCCCCAGCCTACGACATTGCAAGTCAATTTATTCATTTCATATTCCATTTGATATTCCGGAGTTTGGGTGAAAGAAAAAAATAGTTTTCGCTTTGCACCCTTGCCAACTTGTCAACGCTCAAAGTTACCCAGAAGGCACCACTAAGGTGGCTAATCTCTCCGACGCGCCGTCTGCGTGTGTACCGCCGCGTGGCGCTGGGCACGTTGTCTGGCGTACGTACAGACGTACGTACGTGTGTATATGTATGTTGAACCTCTTTCGCACCGTAGTAGCCGACCGTGCGAGTCGGAGGTGCGGGGAAAAGATTGAAAACTCTGCTTTTTGTGTTTAGCTTGCTGTCCTTCCCCCGCACCTCCGATTAGCGCGATTGGCCATGTACGGTGCGAAAGAAGTTCAACATACATACATACAGAGACCCATAGACTTACACAGAAACTCATAGAGTCATCACACGTAGGCCGATGGACTCGCACACTGCATCGCGCGCTTTCAGATGCGCTTCTGCGGCCGTCTGGAACGCTCTTCCTTCCGATATTAGGAAGCCACCGGAGCTGTGCACTTTTAAATCATCCAGATTGAAAACTCGTTTATTTAGAACTGCTTTTGGTGTTGAGTTTGTTGTCCTTCCCCCGCACCTTCGATAAGCGCGGTTGGCGCCAAAGCAGTCCAACGCCACACACGTGCATGGCGTGCCGGCAGATTCCCTCCGTGAACGCAACGCAGAGCCATTCGGTCGCAACCGCGAAAACCCACGCGGTCGCACCACGGTGGCCATCGAATCTTACTCACAGGGGTGGTGGGGGGTAGGGGGGAGCGGGGGGGGGGGTGAAGGGGGGGTTACACGCTTAACGGTCACCCAGCTCATTGACCTCCACCTGATTGGAAGAGACAGGGAGACGGGGACGCGCGCTTTGTTGACGAGAGAGAGAGAGGACCTTTGTGTGACCAGTGTGCATTCGAGCCAGCGGGCCAGCGCTGCCGTCTTATCTACGCACGCGCACACACACAACGGGCCTTGTGTCGGTCTCCGTGTGCGTGGTCACCGCGTGGATATTGAACCCGGCGCGCTTCGCGACGTCGTAATTCTACACCGAGAGTAGCGGCGCCGCCTCTTTGCTTTCCCGTGAGAAGACCAATAATAGTCGTAGTCATTTGGAATGTTTCACCCAGAACAGCATGAGCGTGAGAACGTAGGAGTCATTCCCTCACCCCTCATTCCTTCACTCATTCTCACAATCCTCATTATCACACGCCTCATTCCCACACACCTCAATCCCACACACCTCATTCCCCCACACACACACCTCATTCCCACACACCTCATTCCCCCACACACATCTCATTCCCACACAGACACCTCATTCCCACACAGACACCACATTCCCACACAACTCATTCCCCACACACCTCATTCCCGCACACCTCGCAGAGTTTGAAGTCCTTCTTAAACAACGCTAAGGCATTTCACATTTCGAGTGGTTTGTAGAGAAAAGTAAAGCGGCACGTGGAATCCCAAGCAGATGGAGAGCGAGCGAACGCTAAAGCTCCCAGCAGCCGCGCGTGAGAAACCTCAACGCAGCGCAGGCTCCTTGCGTGTGCAACCACGCCGTGAAGCAACACTCGCGTCTCACACGCACGCACGCACGTACGCACCGCGGCCATCGCTACGCCAGCCACTGAGTCAACTCCGATGCAACGTGCCGAAGGCACCATCTGGGCCCCATCGCGCACTCACTCACTACGGCCAGACGGAGGTTCTGGCTACGGGGGGCAGGAGTGGGGGGGGAGATGCTTTGCTCTGTTCCGGCAAGCCACTGGGGAAAAGTGTTAAACCTACGGCTTATTTTTTTCATTAACAAGGGTTTAACACAGGCCCACACACACAGATGCAACTGAATGCACCACTACCATCCCAACGTGAATGAAAGTTAGTTCGTCTGAGCACACGCGACAGACGGTCAACTAAAGTCCGAATTGGCCGAAACGCTACGTCCAAGTAAATAGCCACTCCCATCGTTGCACGAACGGCCACTGAAATGTACATCCAAAATTTGTGGAACTGCCCCGGTGCTCTTCCCTGCCCCATTCCCTCCCCGGCGCGCTGCGCACGGCCCCCCCTCTCCTCCCGCCCCGGCGCGGGGGGCCCACCGTGCCATCTGCTTGTAGGCCTCCTCGGCGACGGCAAAGATGTGCGGGTCCATGTCGCCCATGTTCTGCCCGCTGTAGGCGAAGATGATATCCTCGCCGTAGATGGGCAGCTGCTCGTAAGGGTTGATGGCGACCAACACGATGCCTGCGGTGAGACCGACGAGCCGACTTAAGGGAAGGCGCTTGACAAGACGTCGCAACACTGAGCGGTCCGGGGCGAACCCATCTAACCCATCGAACTCGCCATCGAGTCCATTGCGCGAGCGCTTGTTGCGCTATCTCGCCCAACGGGGCCCACCTCTGTTCATCCCCGAGGCGGTGAACCTGCATGCGGTGCAAGAAAGTGGAACGTCAAACGTCAGCGTTTACATCCGATGCGCACAGCGTGGGGGGGGGGGGGTGCAGCAGTGGCAACGTGGCTCAACGTGCTATGATGTGCTCCGAATCCGGCGACACGAGTTTCGATTACCCCCCACCCCCTCCCCCGGCCGTGCCGAACGTCGGCGGTGAGCGAGAATGCAACCGGCACCTCCACGGAGCGGCAGTGATCGGAATGGTGACGTATGGTCAACCAACCACCCCCCCTCCTCCTCCCCCCCGCATGACCGACACAGCGTGGTGCGGCATTCATCGAGGAGCGCATTGACGGGGAGGGTGGGGGGGGGGCTCTATTAATTAACTTGACAATATATTATCATGAAAAAGTACGCATGTCTGCTTACGCATTTAGTTCTCAATTGATGGGCTCATCCAACTTAAGTGAGAGAAAACATTCACGTCCGTGTTTTCATGTGTTGTTTTCATGCAGTCATTGACAGTCATACGTTCAACCGACCACGAGCCGGCGTCTCTTCCGGCCGTATGAAGCGTGCGTCGCCACACGGCTGACATTTCTAATTTGCTCACAAGTGTTAACCAGGAAAGGCCCCACTGAGATGTATATCTCGTTTTCAGAAGGGGACCTGGCCACAAATGATAGCCCAATAAAGTGGCTTATCGTGTGGATATTTATAGCAGCCAAATTCTCTAAACGCATGATTCTAATTGTGGAGGGAAAAACGGGAGGACCGGGAAGAAAATCCATGCGACCACGGGGAAAGAAAGACACACAAACTCCAAATATACAGCAGCAGGCGTCAGGGTTGGGATCGAACCCACGACCTCCTGCATACCAGGCGAGGCAGTTAACATCTCACCACCGTGGCACCCTACCTCTTTGCCCTGGGCTTCGAGAAGGTGAGTAGCTAAATCAAATGTACGAGATAGTTGCGTTGTTACATTCACTATGACCGAGCTAATAAAATAAATTCACTCGACCAGAGAACAGCGTTTAACCCCAGGTGGCTTCTCACATTCAAACCCAGGATCCTAGCGGTGCCGGCTGTGAACCGTACACCCGGCCATGACAACTCTTGTGGCCTACTGATACCAGCGAGGGGGTGCGGGCCACGATGGTGACAGCTCTTGACTCACAACTGAGATGGTTGAGAGTTAAAATCCCGGTAAAGGGGTCAAGTCAACGTATTGGTCTATAAACTGAGAATTAGACAAAAAAAACATGAAATGAGTACCACCCTTGTGAAAGTCAATAGTGGTCACTCTTTCAGGGTAATAAAAACGAGGTACTGCTGCTACATTGCGCTTGCTTCAGCAACACCTCTGTTTGTCTTTTTTTCAGATTTCACCCGGATTGCGCTAGCAGCATCGCGTGCCGAGTTTGACCGTTGGGAACTCTCGCAGGGCGAGGGGAAACAATTCGTGTCAGAGGACGGCTCGTGGAGGCGAACATCACAAGCGACCACGGCTCCACACAGTAGTAGGCGGACGGCACTCTCTCACCCGATACCTGCCGCTGACAGCAACATTCATCGCATTACAGTCAAACCAATATGGCGAACTCTTGAGAGCTGACAATTAACCGATTTAACTGCAAAGGCAGTTTTAACATGCGCGTGGTTTCTTGTTTGCTTGTTATGCAGTCAAGCGTAAGTGACCGGGCTGAGAACGGCAACTCGGTACGCGACAGGACTCGGTTTAATCATCCGGAATTAAATCTGGAATCTCAGCAGTGCCAGCAGCTCAGCGCTGGGCCTTATGAGCAGCATGGCCACCCCCCGAACTCCCCCACCCGACCCCCCCCTACCACCCCACGTGACCAGCGCCCGTGACGTCCGCATGCAGCAGGTGTTGCGTGCATACCGCAGTACGTGTATATGTGGTTGGACTCGGCAAAGCGGACTTTGAGGTTGTGCAGCACGGCCGGCTCATGCAAGTAGCTGAGTGCCGTCAGATCGTTCTCTCCCACCAGAATGTCGGGGTTTCTCAGGGGCGGGAGCTGCCCCCCCTCCAGCGGGTGCTGCACCACCTGCCGCGCGGGGAGACGCACCGCACGCCACACACCGCCGTCATCATCGTCATCGTCATCGTCGTCATCGTCATCATTGTAATAGTCGTCATCATTATTATCATCATCATAGTCATCCTTGTCATCATCGTCGACGTTGTCATCATCGTCGTCGTCATCATCGTCATCATCAATTTCAACATACATACAAGGTGTCAAATCTGTGTCAGGTGTAGGCCAATCAGTTTCAAGGACAGCGCAAACATTATTGTCAAAGCATATGCTTGCATTCTTTTTACCACGAGCATGTATGGTTAACGTATACTTGATAACTTGTAGAAGGTGTCTATTTGATGCTTTAATATCTTAACACCTCTTGTATTCATGCCAGAGAGGGTAAAGCCTTTCTTATCATTCAATAATGTATCTAATGTCTGGTATCCTGTAATGTGTACACCAACAATATCGCTGTGCCATGCCTCTTGGACTCAGGGCAGAGATGTATAATTTAGATCTCAATCACGCTTTCTACAAACGCAATTAAATGAACTACTTTAATCTTGTGTAATATAGAGAGTGGCCATCTGTGTGTGTGTGTGCTGGTCGTCTGTGTGGGCCAACACCAGTGACGATCAGTCCTGGGCCTCCCTTAAGTCGACTCAGCCTCAGACGAGTACCCGGTGCGGTGTTGTAAACACCAGCAGTGAGGTGACAAAGGTGGCCGGGCGTGGTGCCGGCCACCCACCCACTGGCGTGCCGTGCCGGCCTTCGTAGGTTATCGCTAACGGCACTTGCCCCTACAGTGTGTGAATGCCACAGGGAGATCGTTGGTGTTGGTGGTGCTGCCCTGTGTGACGTGTGAAGGGTGCGCGACTGACCCTGCCATCTTCGAGCCTAAGCTGCAGCAGGCGGTCTCCGTCGCGGTAATCCTGGCAGATCTCCGCCGACACCCACACCTCGTCCGCATGCGGGATCCATACCTTGGTGAGCTGCAACGAGGCCACGCACGCGCACAGATGCGTATACACGCTTGAGCACCTCTTGCTTGTGTGAGAGTCTACATAAATAAAATAGTGTTGACCTTCATCAATCCACTGGTGGAAGAAGGGCTCCCTCCCATACTTCATCCTCAATGACAGCCACTGTTCACTGTTTTCTTTAAAGCTGATCGTACCACTTCATAACATTTCTTTGTCGCGGAAAAATGTGTTCCGATGCAGTATTTGCCTTGCGGTCGAAAGGGTTTGAAAATCATCGGCATACCGCTAGAATTGGCAGGTAGGGGGCTGGGAGGCGAGCGCACCATTAGCCACGGCGGTTGTTCGACCGTCCGCCACCGGGCTCGGTCGGTGGCGGTTTGGCGAGAGGGAACCAAGACCCATCGAGCTCGGCCACTGACGTTAGCCGCAGTCGCGAACCAAAACCGGGTCGCCGGGCTCGAAGCTCGCCGTGCCGTGCGCAGCAACCATGTTTGGGAGTTATTGGACCATACTTCACCGCGCCGGTCGGGGAAGACATCGGAGGGAGCATGGTTAATTACGGCGATGTAGTTTTCGGCGCTGCCCTCTGCTGTGCTGGTAAGCACGTGCAGGGTAAATGTACTGAAGTAGCCAACTGATGACGAATCTCCTCCCCGACGATTCAATGAATCGTCACAAAACTGGGTTCGATTTTGTCATCCAACAGGCACCACCACGATGCCTGCCAGGAGGCAGTAATTGGAATGTGATTAGAGAGAAATAAATAAACAGATGCCAAAAAAAAGGATTAAATTCACCATCTGGCAGAATGACACGTAATCCGAAGAGTGCTGGACTCACAAGTATTACAAAACAAGTAAAATTCTATATCAGTGGTCAACTTAGTTCAGAGATCGGCAACCTGCGGCTCTGTAGCTGCATGTGGCTCTTTACGGACTGCTTCATGAAGTAATGTGCGTGCGTGTGTGTGTGTATCGCGTGTCTACGTATTCACACGCATTGCGGCACTTGAAATATTGAGCTTGGTACCGAATTCGACAAAGATGGCTCTTCGTGTTATTTTGCTTGACTTAGCTCAACATCCCTCCATGGTTGATAAGAGAGAGAGAGAGAGACAGCGCCATTCTGTGGTGAGCAAACGCAAAAAGTAGTCCCGAGGTTGGGAGATTTGGGCCACAACCGTGGCAAACAAGGCTCGCGCACCGCGAGATTTTTGCCGCCAACTTGGGCGATTGGCGTTGCCCCACCGCTGGCCGGAGCCATGGACGCACTTTTACTTCAAGGCTTTTTACACACACGTGCGCGCGTGCGCGTACACAAGCGTGGGTGTTGTACGTCGTTACGCTTGCGAAGGATTCCCCTTCACGGGGCAATTATTGCGCACAAAGTGCAGTATTTAATTCCGTACTCATTCAACCAAGGCCTTCGAGGGTACGAGACGAGCCGTGTGTTAATTCCCCATGACAATTCCAACGCACGGCACGTCGGGGAATGCCACACGATCACGGATTAATTAACGCAATTTCATGCCCGACTTTCACAGAAAGGCTCCTGATTATTTTATAACCCGTGTTCCGCTATCACTCCTGTTATTAAAGCAACCATTTTTTTGGCAAGGGTACCTCACTTAATACAGCACAGGTAGCAGGGCGAGAGCGTCTTGGCAGCTCTTGCACGAGTTCAAATTCCAGCCAGCGTTGACACATCACCATCGCCAAGAGCAATAACAGGACATTTTACTGCGGTCAGTAAAATTAAGCATTGCTTGCTGATGTTAAATAACTTGTGACAAGCCAACAACGGACTGGTCATCGCCATAGCAATGTGCGTCTCCCAAGTGTCCCTGTGTCCCTGTCCGTTTCTCCTTCCTTCGATGTGCACAGGTATTGAGACGGCTCCGTCAATATGAAACGGCATCTCTGCAGGCCGCTCAGGTCAACGGATAATTCACAACACACTGGGGCCCATTCACATCAACAGATCGAAGTCGAGGAGCAGCCAGACCGAGCGGCACATCACAACTCCATCTGCAGACACCTAACAACGTATCTCTCCAAGCAGCTCACGTCCCCAATTGATACCCTAAACAACAAAAACACCGCGATAGACACTTCACTCACACAATCTGTTGGCCTACAAAAGCAGGTAAGTAAACCGACGCCGTGACCCCCCACACCACTATCAGCCCTGTGCACGGCTCTCTTCGCCGTGCCCACTGCTCTGCACCGAGTGACCACCGACACCCGCTGCCATTGTTTGTGATTCTCCGCGCTCGCACAAAACCAAATGCCACCGCTCATCAGTCAAGCGCCCAACTGCTTGGGCGAACCGTTCCCTCGCCAGCTCAACTCAAAGGCCCTTTAATGCCCCGCCCCCTGTGAAAACAGATGCTGCCTCGTGCAGCGTCGAGGATCCCATGTAGCCCCTTCCTCCCAATCATCATCTTTCCTGACCCTCTGTTCCCTTTGATCCATTCCTTTTACTCTGAATTCCCAATATTTCCTGTTTTTATTTTGTCCACACATTACTGTACATCCTTGAGTCCTCTCCCTACCCCGTGGTTAGCCACGGGCAAAATGTAGTTCTAGAACGGATACTTCACTGTTACAACAACTACGAGCATCGGTTCTAACGTCCGATTTGTGCAAACTAAAACATAACTGTTGTCGAGTCACCAGCTGATGCTGCGATGAGATGGGACTTTGGTATTTCATGTGAACGATGCTCTTTTTAAATGTGGTGGAATTGTCACGTGACTGGCCATGCAAGCTGCCCTCCAACGCAGCTGTGGCCAGCAGCACGTGTTCACGACTACTCAGCCGGCATTTGCGCCTACGCAATGCGGCATCATAAATGTCCACTTCCAATATGCGGCAGCCACCGAACACGATTCTGAATGAGAACGGGTTGTATGTACGTATGTTGAACTTCTATTGCACAGTACGTAGCCAACCATGCTAATCGGAGGTGCGTGGGAAAGGACAACAAACTAAAACCAAAAATGAATTCTAAAGAAATTAGTTTTCAATCTAAAATTTTTTAAAGCACAGCTCCAGTGGCTTCTTAATATCGGAAGCAAGAGCATTCCAGACGGCCACACAAGCGCATCTGAAAGCACGAGATGCGGTGAACGTCTTGGTTCTATGCAGTGACCGTCCGGTTGGTTTGATACGTGACTGCCATCGGACGTTTACAAACAACGTGAGCGAACGAACGATATTGACTTTGGATTGGAGCGAACGTACCCGCCACTTTAGAGTGGTAGATCGCAATTATAACAAACCTGAAAATAGCACAGATTTCCAGGTGCGACTCAAGAGAATAAAAGGTGGCAGAAAGTAAACGTGACTGAGTCTTCTGACGTTGATGCGATCTGAAATAATGAAAAATGTCATGATTTGAGATTACTCTGCCCCATGTTGCAGGCCTACGAAAAATGTTGCTTTGGGTTCAAATTTTAAATCCCGTGACATATAGGAATGGATATACCGGCACTTTAAGAGGTCCAAAGTCAACGAAAAATGTCAACGTTCGATGGCCCGTAACTCTGAGAAAAGTTAATCTCGAAACGTTAAACTTTGACCCGGAGTGTCTCTCACAGAGTCCCGCGACTTCTTAATGTCAAGAAGGGTTTGACGGCGACGCCGATTCCTGCTGAGATGGCTGGAGCGGAATGAACCAGGAATAAATCACGCGTGCGTGTTTTTTTTCTGAACGGCATGGTGGGCAATAATTTGTGTTGCATCAAGCAGCTCCTTTAGCCCCCATGAGGTTAACTGCCTTTCGTGAAATACTTCGTACTTTTGTCTCGCCAATCCACTGCTGGATGAACGCTTCCTTGCATGCCACACGGCCCGTGAAGGATGTTATGACCGTACTTCACCGTGCAGGCCAGGACGCGTTGGTGAAGGTGACAGGAGGCATAAGAGCGAGTGTCGTCGTCTGCACTTGAATACCAAGTAAACACAAGGCCACGGGAGTTTGTATCATTGCCAAAGTAACGCTTACTGCATCGAGCCACGCACCTTGCAGATCGATGTGGCCTTGCTGGCATTACAAAAAGGCGCACTCAGGGATCGGCTTTGCCAGTACAGTGCCTTTGAATGAACAGGCGACACCCTGCTGACGAGACGCACTCGCGTCGAAGCGAGTCCACGAGTTTACCCTGCTTAAAATAATGTGAGCACGATGCGCTGGGTCAGAGGTTCCCCCGGTTCATGAGATACATGTTACTTCATTTCTGAAATGAAATAAATCCCCGAGCTTGTTTATTTATTTAATCCGGCATCAGCCGCAATTTGCTCCGGCAGGGGATTATGTGGTGTGTGTTTTATTGTTTGATCAAATCACCTGCCATGCACCCAATAATCATCAGATCTCAGAAGCCAAGCAGGTTCTGGGCCTGCTGTTTTTCTGCCTTGCCTAAGCCTGGATTTGGTGTAGATAAATCGTCAGTATATAAGTATGCAATTTATACTTACATACTTTATTTATGTTTAATGTCACTTGTTTTCTCTATTTTGCCCTTCTATCATTTTTGTGTGTATTGTGTTGCTGTTGAAATTTGCTGACCTGCCCCAAACTGGGACATCTGTGACAAACACCTTCATAGAGCTCACCGGACTCCTCCTCCTGCAGTCGAAAGATTCTGATTCTGGATAAAACCTTGTGAGGGCGACTGCCACGCACAGACTGTCATACGGTTGCAGAGATTCGTGGTGAGCAACAGAGGGCAGTGCAGGAAACGCCCCTGATGTTCTGTACCATTCTTGAGCCCCGCACCACCGATTAGCACAGTTGGCTGCGTACGGTGCGAAAGAAGTTCAACGCACGTACGTACATCTATGGCTCCACGCCTACACCAATCCACACCTACACCAATCCACACCTACCAGTGTGGTAAAATCATCATGATCCATGGGCAGATAGCCCGTAGGTGTCCATTGCACATTCCATGATGCGTGAAACATGGTCAAACAATCCCTACAACAGATACATCAGGGGAAGGC